AACATAAAATTTGCAGTTCAATCATTTTACGTATGATAATCAGTTGCCATTAAGTATATCACATGGTGCACCATAACACTCCTTCATTTTCCAGACTGGTTTTTTCTTTTCTTCTTTTTCTTTTTTTTTTTTTTTTTGAATGGGAGTCTCTGCTGCGCCGGCTGGAGTGCAGTGGCCGATCTCGCTCAATCCAGCCTCCGCCTGGGGGTCAGCATTCCTACTGCCTCACGCCATCCCGAGTAACTGGGAACTAACAGGCGCCGCCATCCGCCGGCTATGTTTTGTTACTTTTTTAGTAGAGACCCGGGTTTCACTGTGGGTTAAGCAGGAATGATCTATGATCTCCTGACCTCCGTGACCCGCCGTCTCGGCCTCCCAAAGTGCTCGAATTCAACAGGCTTGAAGCCACCCCGCCGGCCGCCGTTTTCTTTTTTTTTTTTTTTTTTTTTCTTTTTTTTTTGAGACGGAGTTCCTTGGCTCTGTCGCCTCGGCTGCGGCGCATGACGCGATCTCGGCTCACTGCAGCTCCGACATCCCGGGGTCGCCACTCTCTGCTCAGCCTTCCAGAGTAGCCTGGGACCTACAGGCGCCGCCACCTCTCCCGGCTAGTTTTTTGTATTTTTTTTAAGTAGCAGACGGTTTTTCACCGTGTTAGCCAGGGATGGTCTCCGATCCCCCCTGAACCTCGTGATCCGCCCCGTCTCCGGCCTCCAAAGTGCGGCGAATTACCAGGCTTGAAGCCACCGCGCCCGCCGTTTTTCTTTTTTTGAGACCGGAGTCCTCCACTCTGTCCACCAGACCTGGGAGTACCAATTGCGCATCTCGGCTCAACTGCAAGCTCCACCTCGCGGGTTCGAGGATATTCTCGCTGCCCTCAGCCTCCGTGACGTAGTTGGTGATACAAGGCCGCCCCCACCACCGTGCTTGACTACTTTTTATAGTTTGAGTAGAGACTGGGTTTTGCCATGTTGGTCAGGCTGGTCTAGAACTCCTGACCTCAGGTGATCCACCCACCTGGGCGTCCCAAAGTGCTGGGATTACAGGCACGAGCCACCGGGCCTGGCCCATTTCCAGAACTTTTTCATCATCCCAAACAGAAACTCTGTACCCATTAAATAACTCCCCATTCCCCCTATCATCCCATCCTCTGGTAACCTCTATTCAACTTTCTGTCTCTGTGAATTTGCCCTTTCTGGCTACCTCAAGTAAATGGAATTACACAATATTTTGCCTTTTGTATCTTGCTTATTTCACTTAGCATAATGTTTTCAAGGTTCATCTATGTTGTAACATGTGTCAGGATTTCCTTTTTAAAGACTGAATAATATTCCATTGTGAACTTAGAGTAGAACTACCATTCTGTCCAGCATTCCTACTGCTGGGTAGAGAAATCATTATATACAAAATATACCTACACTTGTATGTTTATCGCAGCACTATTCACAGTAGCAATGTTATGGAATCAACCTAAGCATCTGTCAGCGGATGGTTGCTTAAAGAAAATGTGAGAGAGAGAGATATATATATATACACACACACACACACACGTATACACACACACACAAATACACCATGGAATACAACTCAACCATAAAAAAGAATGAAATCATGTCTGACAGTAACATGGATGGAACTGGAGGCCATTATTTTTTTTTTTTTTTGAGACAGAGTCTTACTCTGTCGCCCAGGCTGGAGTGCAGTGGCCGGATCTCAGCTCACTGCAAGCTCCGCCTCCCGGGTTCACACCATTCTCCTGCCTCAGCCTCCCGAGTAGCTGGGACTACAGGCGCCCGCTACCTCGCCTGGCTAGTTTTTTGTATTTTTTTAGTAGAGACAGGGTTTCACCGTGTTAGCCAGGATGGTCTTGATCTCCTGACCTCGTGATCCGCCCGTCTTGGCCTCCCAAAGTGCTGAGATTACAGGCTTGAGCCACCGCGCCCGGCCAAAGCCATTATCTTAAGTGAAATAATGGAGAAACAGGAAGTCAAATACTGCATATTCTCACTTATGAGTGGGAGCTAATCATGTGTACATATGGACAAAAGAGAGTAGGATAATACACATCATAGACTCCAAACGATGGGAGGGTGGGGAGGGGGTGAGGGTTGAGAAGTTACCTGTATTGGGTACAGTGTATACTATCAGGGTGATGGCTACACCAGCAGCCCAGACTTCTATGCAATAAATTCGTGTAACAAAACTGTACTTGTACCCCCTAAAGCTGTAAAAATAAAAAGTAAGGGCTGAGTGTGGTGGCTTACACCTGTAATCCCAGCACTTTGGGAGGCTGAGGCAGGTGGATCACAAGGTCAAGAGATCCAGACCATCCTGGCCAACATGGTGAAACTCCCTCTCTACTAAAAATAAAAAAATTAGCTGGGTGTGGTGTGTGCACCTGTAGTTCCAGCTACTCGGGAGGCTGAGGCAGGAGATTCGCTTGAACATGGGAGGCAGAGGTTGCAGTGAGCCAAGATTACGCCACTGCACTCTAGCCTGGTGACAGAGCAAGACTCAGTCTCAAAAAAAAGAAAAATAATATTTCATTGTATGTATATGCTACATTTTGTTTTATACATTCACTTGCTTATGCACATGTATTTTGCAGCAGTTTTTAACTTGCAAAATATTTTAATTTTTCAAAAACGAATTTATTTTAACTATGTGAATAGAGTTCCTATGAAGGAGCTAATAGAGATTGTGATTTAACTTGTTGAGGTCACTTAGCTAGACAACATGTGTACTGCTTAAATCCTGTAGTCTATTTTTTAAGCAACTGAATCACAGTGTTTTAAAATATTCAAGTTCTACTTTATAGCCCATTTGAAAACTGATTTTAAGCTTTGCTTTTTAAAACAAAGTTAACATTTATTTATTGGATGCTTCATATATGTCAGGTACTGCATTAAGCACTTGGCGTGCTCATCTTGTTTGTAGTTGTCCTTTGTATGCAATAAACCTTTATTCTTTGAACTTACTGTTATTATTAAAGCAGGTCTATCATATTTTACTTAGAAACACTCAAAAGATAATAATTAACATTTGCCTAGCCCTGGATAGTTTAGAACTGCTTTCATACATGTATTAGTTTTGTTTATTCGTCTACTTAACAGACTTTGAGTGCTTGCTGTATGTTAGGCACAATGTTAGACTGTGCAGAGTAAGAGATGACTAAGACCTTGTCCCTGCCTGAAGAACTGTAGGGGTTATAGAATTGTAAACTCTTGTTTTTTGAGACGGAGTATCACTCTGTTGCCCAGGCTGGAATACAGTGGCGTGATCTTGACTCATTGTAACCTCCGCCTCCTGGGTTCAAGCAATTCTTGTGATTCTTGTGCTTCAGCCTCCCGAGTAGCTGGGATTACAGGCATGCGCCACCACACCCAGCTAATTTTTGTATTTTTAGTAGAGGTGAGGTTTCACCATGTTGGCCAGGGTGGTCTCGAACTCCTGATCTCAAGTGATCTGCCCTCCTTGGCCTCCCAAAGTGCTGGGATTATAAGTGTGAACCACTGCATCAGGCCAATAATTGTAAACTCTTAATTATAGGAGTTCTGTAAGGTAAATGTTGTTGATAAAATATTTCCTTGTCATTAAGGAAATTGGGGTTCAGAGAGGTTAACCAGTGTATCTAAAGATATATAATCATCTAATAGTAGAGCTGGCATTTAAACCCCAAGAACTTACGTCTTCAAAATCTGAGCATTTTCTCCTATACCACATATCACTTTGTTAGTCTTTATGTATTTGAAAGTACCCTTTAAATAATATTCCACAATTCAAATTGTCACTAATTTAGTCTTTCCTCTGCAACCAATCCAAATTAGGGTGAATATTCATTCTTCAGACAAACTAGTGGATTTTGAGTTTGCTTGATTGGTTAAAATGAGATTCTGTAGTCATGACAATCTCCTCAAATAGGCCAATTTGAAAGTGTTTAAGTGGGGAGCTGTGTTTTAGCTCCCTTTTAGTTTAGTAAATGCTTCATGCTTTCTTCCTTTTGTGATCCATATTTCTTACAGAGAAAAAGAGAGACCAGCAGTTCTGTCCTCTGGCAGATGAGAAGGCAGCTTCTTCTGGAGTTGATGGGCATTCTTCCCACAGTAAGAAGCACCCGAATTGTGGAAGAAGCTGATGTGGACATGGAGCCCAATGTGTCTGTGTATTCGGGGCTGAAAGAAGAGCATGTTGTGAAAGCCAGTGCACTCTTACGTCTGTACTGTGCTTTGATGGGGATCGCTGGACTCAAGTATTCAATAGTTTGATATTTTACCTTTTTGTCATTTTACTTTCTTGTTCCTATTCTCAAGAAAGTGAACCAAAGGCCTTTTATTCAGAGGATTAAAGTTTTCTGTTGGACTCAGGTAGTGGGCTGGCCTATAAGAAGAATGAAATCCTAAGGCCAAGAATTCCTAGCAGAGATGTATTCATCTATTTTGTTCTGATTGTAAACAGAGCTATATAAATAAATATGGGAGGAGCCAGAGCAGTTTATCAATTTCCAATCACAGTTTAAAAAACACTGTGATTTCAACACAGCTTGACAAAACTATAGTGAATGATCTGTGAGTGATCTTTTAACATTGACTAGTTGAAGTAAATCTCTCCTTTGTTTCCTTTTACAGTTGATATCATAAATTGTTTAAAATTAATATGATGTGATTAATAAGTACATTGTTTTCTTTTCTTTTTTTTTTGGAGATAGAATCTTCGTCTGTCGCCCAGGCTGGAGTGCAGTGGCGCAATCTTGGCTCACTGCAACCTCTGCCTCCTGGATTCAAGTGATTCTCCTGCCTCACCACACCCGGCTAATTTTTTATTTTTATTTTTTTTGTATTTTTAGTAGAGACGGGGTTTCACCATGTTGGCCAGGCTTGTCTCGAACTCCTTACCTCAGGTGATCTACCTGTCTCAGCCTCCCAAAGTGCTGGGATTACAGGCATGAGCCACTACACATGGCCAGTACAATGTTTCTTATTTAGTCACCATACAAAATCCTTTTGAATAATATTCTTAATAATTGTGCATATAGTCTTCATTTGCATGTCTCCAATATGCATGAGTTTCAGTTACCTCAGTTTATTTAAATAATGCTGGTCTCTCAACACAGTTGACATTTCAGTTGCCATGATACATTAACCAAATAATTTTATAAAGTATAGGGATTGTGAGCTCCTCAGGCCACATACCACTAAGTAAATGACGGATGTACATCATGATTAGTGACCAGTGGCCTCACTTCTTTCAAAGTTTGTTGGTAACTGGTTACTGCACACCTGTTATTTCATTCGTGTACATATAGCAGAGGAGGTAGTTGTAAAGGTTGAATATCCCGTATCTTAAATGCTTGAGACCAGAAGCGTTTGGGATTTTAGAACTTTTTGGATTTTGGAATGTTTATATTACATTTACTGGTTTAGCATCCCTATTTCAGAAATGCAAAATCCTTAGTGCTCCAATGAGCATTTCCTTTGAGCTCATTACCTTATGTTGGCACTCAGAATGTTTTGGAGTTTGGGGGCATTTCAGATTTTGGATTTTTTGGATTGGGGTTACTCAACCTGTATTGCTTCCTTTCTCTCCATAATAAACTCATGTTCCAAAACACGGAAACAGTTTTTGGAACATTATATTCCAAAACAGATAATTGGAAGAGACAATTGGCAAGTAAAGATGAAAGTATAGGCTGGGCATGGTGGCTCACACCTGTAATCCTAGCACTTTGGGGGGCCGAGGCGGGCAGATCACCTGAGGTTGGGAGTTCGAGACCAGCTTGACCAATATGGAGAAACCCCATCTCTACTAAAAATACAAAAATTAGCTGGGCGTGGTGGCACATGCCTTGGGAGGCTGAGGCAGGAGAATCACTTGAACCCGAGAGGTAGAGGTTGTGGTGAGCCGAGACTGCAACATTGCAGTCTGGCCTGGGCAACAAAAGTGAAACTCTGTCTCCACAAAAACAAAAAACACGAAGAAAAGAAAAAAAAAAGAAAGGTGGCAAAGGCTGTTTAAACTACTCTTGATAAAGTCTTTACGAAGAAATAAAAAACCTTAAGGCCGGGCACGGTAGCTCACGCCTGTAATCCCAGCATTCTGGGAGGCCGAGGCTTGCAGATCATTGAGGTCAGGAGTTGTAGGCCAACCTGTTCAACATGGTGAAACCCTCTCTCTACTAAAAATACAAAAATTAGCTGGGAATGGTGGCATGTGCCTGTAGTCCCAGCTACTCAGGAGTCTAAGGTAGGAGAATTGCTTGAACTCAGGAGGTGGAGGTTGCAGTGCACCGAGATTGTGCCACTGCACTCCAGCCTTGGTGACAGGGTGAGACTCCGTCTCAAAAGACAAAACAAGAAAGAAAACACTTTAATTCCTAGTGTTTCTGATATTTTCAATTAGAGTACTATAAAAATATTAGTTTTACTATTTAAAAAAAAAATTTCTGGCCGGGTGCAGTGACTCACACCTGTAATCCCAGCATTTTAGGAGACCAAGGGAGGTGGGAAGTGGATTTTTTGATCCCAGGAGTCTGAGACCAGCCTGGGGAACATGGCAAAACCGTGTCTCTACCAAAAAAAAAATAAGCTGGGCATGGTGACGCATACCTGTGGTCCCAGCTACCTGAGAGTCTGACATGGGAGGATTACCGGAGCCTGGGAGGTCAAAGCTGAAGTGAGCTCTGATCCTGCCACTACACTCCAGCCTGGGTGACGGGGCAAGACCTTGTCTCAAAAAAAAAAAAAAAAAAATTCCTTATGCATTATAATCAACAGAGTTTTTAATGTTTTGACAAAAATTTTAAAGGCTACAGTACAATCATACTTTTTACCATGGATTATTAAGATCATGTTGCATGATTGCAGCTTGCATGGTCATTTTTATGACACAGGGCAAAGTGAGGACCTACCTGTATTTGTCTACAGTAAAACACTGTAGTTGTAATTTCTCAACAGTTTTGCATTTGACAACTTGAGATGTTAAAGATTTTATAAATAGCAAGGTATTGTTATAAAGTTTAATATTTGTATCTAAAAGGTTAAAAATTGACTTTTTCTTCTTCATCCCAACTAAAAATGTAAAGCCTAATGATGTATTCCTTTTTAGACCAACTGAAGAAGAAGCTGAGCAATTATTGCAGTTGATGACGAGCCGTCCTCCTGCTACGCCAGCTGGGGTTCGCTTTGTTTCACTTTCCTTTTGTATGCTACTGGCCTTTTCTACGCTTGTCAGGTACCTAACTATATAAGTTGCTCCATTTTCTCAAGGTTTAGTTTTATTTACTCAATAAAATTGTGTAGCATTAGATAAGAGCTTTCTACAAAAGCTGGTCTAGGCATGGACAGTTGTAGTTTTGTTTTGTTTTTTTTTTCAATTTTTAAGAGAAGGGGTCTTGCTTTGTTGCCCAGGCTGGAGTACAGTGGCTATTCAGGGGTGTGATCATAGCACACTGCAGCCTTGAACTCCTGGCCTCAAGTAATCCTCCTGACTCAGCCTCCCAAGTAGCTGGGACTACAGGTACATGCCACTGGGTCCAGCTTATTTGTGTTTTTTTAATATAAGGGTATCAGTAACATCTGATTAATTTTATTTATCTTTTATTAAAGTTTTATATGTACATTGTTTAAAGGAGTCAAAATAGTTCTTCAAGATTTGTTAAGGCTAATAGCAGTCCTTCCTTCCTTCTCTCCTTCCTATTTCACCTTTCTTAGAGGCAGTGTCTTTCAATTCTTTTAACTGTTTATTTTGTGTTTTACTGCTACATCTATAATAACATGTTTGTATTTGATACCCCTTGATTTTTGCTTTTAGGTATTTTTTATTGAGTTCCAAGTATGAAAGATGAGAAATTAGTTCTCTGTCTTTTTTCTCCCTGTCCTAAACACATCCATACATATCCTTCCTATCCTCTCATTCTCCTAGTATGGTTATAATAATTTAGATTAGATCAATATATAGTTGTTACGATTATATAAGCGCTACTGAGAACTCAACCATGTAGTATATGATTATTTTTTACTGCTTTGTAAAAGTTTTTTTTTTTTTTGATTAATATTTATCCTGTGTTTTTGTTTTTTGCTTTTAACTTTCTTGGTGTTATATGTCCCATTCATGTAACCTAAACTCTCTGCCAGCCTAAATCTTCTGTCCAGATGTTTTGACTCATTAGATAGTCTATGAGTTTCATCTTCTTGAGGAGATTTCTTCAGGAGCATTTTGATCTGGAATGGTTACCAGCTAAACCTATTAGTACAAAGCTCTCATCCTGGGATTGACCTTCACCATCATTTTGGAGACTTGCTTCGTCTCTCCTTTTCCTTTTGTTGGATATCCTGTTTCTTATATCTCATGTCATCATCTTAGCTGGGCATGGTGGCTCACATCTGTAGTCCCAGCTACTCGGGAGGTTGAAGCAGGAGGATTGTTTGAGGCTACAAGTTTGAGGCCAGCCTGGGCAACATAGTGAGACTCCTGTCTTCGTTTAAAAAAAAAAAATTAAAAAGAAAACCTATCCTTTCATTTGTTTGAGCTGTGATCATGTCATCATCTTTTTTCATTGCTTCCTCATTTTGCTGCTACTGCTTTTTTTTTTTTTGAGATGAGTTTCACTCTTTTCATGCAATTGGAGTACAATGGCATGATCTCGGCTCACTGCAACCTCTGCCACTCAGGTTCAAGTGATTCTCCTGTTTTAGCCTCCTGAGTATGTGGGATTACCGGCGACCACCACCATTCCCAGCTAATTTTTGTATTTTTAGTAGAGATGGAGTTTCACTATGTTGGCTAGGCTGGTCTCGAACTCCTGACCTCAGGTGATCCACCTGCCTCAGCCTCCCAAAGTGCTGGGATTACAGGCATCAGCCACTGTGCCTGGCCATTTTGCTTCTTCTGAATGAGTATGTGTGAAGTAAATTCTTTTTGAGACTGGATATTTCTGAAAATATCTTTGTCCTACTTTAACATCTGATTGATAGTTTGATGGGGTATGGAATTCTTACTTGGGAATAATTTCCTTTCAGGACCTTGAAGGTGTTGCTTCTTTGTCTTCTAACTTCTGTTAGGAAGTCTGACATTCTGATTCCTGGTCCTTTGTGTGGCCTATTTGTTTTTAATATGGAAACTTATAGGATTAGCTCTTTATCTCTAGGGTTTTGAAATTTCTGGTTGATATGCCTTAGTCTGAGTCTCTTTTTGACTATTGTCCTAGGCATTCAGTAAGCACTTTGAACCTGGAAACTCATGTCCCTCAGTTCTAGGAAATTTTCTGAATTAATTTGTTGGTAATGTTTTCTTCTTGCATGTTCTCTGTCTAAAACCTCCTTTTATTTGGAATTTGAAATGATTGTCGAATTTTCTTATCCTTTCCTCTTTTCCTTCCCCTCATCTTTTTCTACTTTTTAGAAAACAGCTTTATTGAGATGTAATTTACATATCATAAGATTTACCCACTTGGAGTGTACAATTGAGTGGTTTTTAGTGTATATAGAGAGTTATGCAACCACCACCACAATAGAATTTTAGAACCTGTTCAGCACTCTAAAAATAACTTGCTCATTTTAAGGCCAGGTGCAGTAGCTCACACCTGTAAACCTAGTGCTTTGAGAGGCTGAGGTGGGAGGATTGTTTCAGGCCATGAGTTTGAGACTAGCCTGGGCAACATAGCAAGACACTGTCTTTTAAAAAAAAAAAATTCTCCAGGGGTAATGGGACATGCCTTAGTCCCAGCTATTTGGGAGGTTGAAGCAGAAGGATCACTTGAACCCAGCAGTTCAGGGTTACAGTGAGCTATGATTGTGCCATAGCACTACAGCCTGGGTGAAAGAGCTTAAAAAAAAAAATAGAAATCATTCTGCCTTTTAGGATTTGTCTTTAACTTTATCTTCAATTCCTACTCAGTCTTTAATTTCTAAGAGCACTTTTTTTTTGGCTCTCTGAATATTTCTTCTTTATGGTATCTTTTGGTTCATGATAGCATAATTTCTTTGATATTAGTCATACTGATTTTGAAGATATTTTATTATTTGTATTGCTTCTTTTCTCTAGGTTGCTTTTTTCCCTGCTTTTTTTGGTCTCTATTTTTTAAGTTAGATGCTTTTCTCAGATACTTAATATTTATTATTATTTTAACTTTTGTTTTATTTGTTTATTTATTTATTTAGAGATGGGTCTCTCTCTGTTGCCCAGGGCAAATGCAGTGGTACAATCATAACTGATTGTAGCTTTGAACTTCTGGGCTCAACGGGTCCTCCTACCTCAGACTCCCAAGTGGCTAGTGTGGGCCACCACACCTGGCTTATTTTTAAAAGTTTTTTGTAGGGATGGGGTCTCACTTTTGTTGCCCAGGCTGATCTTGAACTCCTGGCCTAAGGTGATCCTCCTGCCTTTGCCTCCCAAAATGCTGCAACTACAGGCGTGAGCCACCGCACCCAGCCAATATTTATTGATTGTTCACATATATATGTATACACACATATTTTATTCACACACATATATATATTTTGTTCACACACACACACATATATATATATAAAATATATATTGTGAGATGGAGTTTCGCTCTTGTTGCCCAGGCTGCCAGACTGGAGTGCAATGGCGTGATCTCAGCTCACCGCAACCTCTGCCTCCCGGGTTCAAGTGATTCTTCTGCGTCAGCCTCCCGAGTAGCTGGGATTATAGGCATATGCTACCACGCCCGGCTAAGATTATAGGCATATGCTACCACGCCCAGCTAAGTTATTTTCAGTAGAGATGGGGTTTCTCCATGTTGGTCAGGCTGGTCTCAAACTCCTGACTTCAGGTAATCTGCCTGCCTTGGCCTCCCAAAATGCTGGGATTACAGGTGTGAGCCACTGCGCCTGGCTGATTGTTCATGTTTAAGACTAGGAAATGAAAAAGCATATTAGAACCTCTAATATGGGAGGTTCTAAAAGACCCGTAAGTGGATCTTTGGGAAACTCTTGGTCTGATCAGAGTTCTAAAGATTATTGTCTGGCCTGGAGAGGGAAGGCTTATACAGAAACCCATAAATAGAGTTAAAGAGTAAGGGTTAAGGGTTGGTAGGTATCAGCCTGCAGTATAATCATTTACTTAATTCTGCTACTTTCAGAATGATGCTCCAGATATACCTGGTTTCCCTTATTTCAGATGCATGATTTTACCACCTCCAGACAATAAATCTCCAGTTTTCTACTGAGGGAAGGGTATTCTTCTAGTTGTGCAGAATGCAGGAGGTGATTTGGAGTCCTACTACTTATATAGAATGTCAGCCTCTTAATTTTTGTCTGTCTTCACTCTCGGTCCCGGAACTGCCTGGAGTAGCTTGAGCCCTTTGGGAATTCTGTGGTGTAAAACGGATGGGTTTTCTCTTCTACCAGTTTAACATTTTGCTTCCTCAGGTCTGCTAAGTCAGTTACCACTTATCTATATGTACTGTAGCTTCCAGCATTTTGTGGTGTTGTCCCTCCTCAATATCTTATGTGTTTATGCCTTTTAAGAAAACCTTAATGTAGTTTTAATGGAGTTTCAGGATGGTGTAAAATTAGGTACATGAATTCTTTCTTTTCGTTACTTGAAGTACTTTCTAAACATTATCTCAAATCCTCATTACTCTTATAGAGTATTTTTTTTTTTTTTTTAGATAGGATCTTGCTTTGTTGTGCCGGCTGGAGTCCAGTGGCACGATCAGGGCTCGCCGCAACCTCGGCCTCTTGGGCTCAAGAGATTCTCCCATCTCAGCCTCCCGTGTAGCTGGGACTACAAACATGCGCTACCATGCCTGTCTAATTTTTAAATTGTTTTGTAGAGATGGGATCTCACTTTGTTGCTCAGGCTGGTCTTGAACTCCTTGGCTCAAGCTGTCCTCCTGCCTTGGCCTCCCAAATTGCTGGGATTACAGGCGAGAGCCACTTTGCCCAGCCTCATAAGGTATTTTTGTCCATAACTTATAGATAGAAGAACTAATGTTTAGAAAGATATTTAAAAGTTCTTAAGATAGGCCAGGCACAGTGGCTCACGCCTGTAATCCCAGCACTTTGGGAGGCCATGGTGGGTGGATCGCCTAAAGGCCAGGAATTCGAGACCAGCCTGGCCAACATGGTGAAACCCCATCTCTAATAAAAATATAAAAAATTAGCCGGGTGTGGTGGTGGGCGCCTGTAATCCCAGCTACTCGGGATGCTGAGGCAGAAGAATCTTTTGAATGCGGGAGGTGGAGGTTGCAAGGATCCAAAATTGTGTCATTGCACTCCAGCCTGGGCAACAAGACCGAAACTTCTTCTGAAAAAAAAAAAAAGACGTTCTTAACATTTTAGAGCTACAGTGAAAAAGAAAAAGAGATTATTTGTGTTTCTTCTTCAAGGTCACACTACCAGTAATTAGCAGAGATGGGATTCTCACTCAGGTGTGGCAGGCTGTAAAGGCTGTCATCTTTCTACTACATAACACTTTATTATTCGTTATATGGTTTAGGTATAGTTGAGAATGACCTTTTTTATTTTCTTAGCTTTTGGTAATAGAAGCAGCATACTTTTCATTTGCTTTTTGTTGCATCTATTTTTACTGCACTGAAGTAGAAAGAGATTGGTGAAAAATTTTTCAGAAGTCAACGTCAGCTTGTACTTATCAATTAAATTTAGACTGGGTGCGGCGGCTCAGGCCTGTTTTCCCAGCACTTTGGGAGGCCAAGGCGGGTGGATCACCTGAAGTCAGGAGTTCGAGACCAACCTGGCCAACAGGGTGAAACCCCATCTCTACTAAAAATACAAAAATTAGCCAGATGTGGTGGCAGACGCCTGTAGTCCCAGCTACTCGGGAGACTGAGGCAGGAGAATTGCTTGAACCCGGGAGGCGGAGGTTGCAGTGAGCTGAGATTGCACCACTGCACTCCAGCCTGAGCAACAAGAGTGAAACTCCATCTCAAAATTTAGGAATTCCCTTTAAAAAGTCATTGTTAGGCTAGGCATGGTGGCTTGCCTCTATAATCCCAGCACTTTGGGAGGCTTAGGCAGGAGTATCACTCGAGCTCAAGAGTTCAAGACCAGACTGGGCAACGTAGCGATCCCTCCCCTCTACTAAAAATAAAAAATACTAGCTGAATGCATTGGCGCATTCCTGTAGTCCCAGCTACTTGGGAGGCTGCGGTGGGAGGATCACTTGAGCTTGGGCGGTTGAGGCTATAGTGAGCTATGATTGCGCCACTGCACTCCAGCCTGGGCGACAGAGCAAGACATTGTCTCAAAAAAAAGTCATTGTATTTTTATAGCCATTTTTCATATCTGGTAAGCCCGTGACTGCCTTTTTTTCCATGATTAGTGATCATTTGTTTCTCTGTAACTTTGAGATCTACTCATAAGGTTTCTATAAATTAAATTTCATTTTTCCAGAAGATGGACTGCTTATTACTGTTTGGCACTCAGTTTGTGATATTTTGATGCTTAAGTGTTAACACTAGATATTTTTCTATATGAAATAAGTATCAGCTGTTGTATAGTTGGTTTAACAGGTTAATCCCAAGGGGCCTTTGTTTTCTGAGGAATGTGAGGAAGCTTACTTTTTTCAACCTGTGAAGGCAGCAACTAAGACTTTGAGAGGGGTTCCATGTAAAAAGCAAAGGTCCTCATTCTTGAGCTCTAGAATTACTTCATACCTCAATGAAAATTAATGGCCCAATTCAGCAAGCCATTAATTTGACTTGATACTTGAAAATAGGGCAGGAAAAATAATTTCTACCAAAAATAACTTCAGAATGCTTTTTATTCATATACTAGAATATCTAATTTAAACCAGTGACATTCTGGTATATTTTATAGTACACCTGAACAGGAGCAGCTGATGGTAGTGTGGCTAAGTTGGATGATAAAAGAAGAAGCATATTTTGAGAGGTAAGATAATTTGATTTAGTTAGTTGAGAAAGCTTTTCTTCTTCTCTCTTTGGAAAATTCATATTTCCTGTTTTGTTTTGACAGTACTTCAGGCGTCTCTGCTTCTTTTGGGGAGATGTTATTATTGGTGGCTATGTACTTTCACAGCAACCAGCTTAGTGCTATCATTGACTTGGTCTGTTCCACTTTGGGGATGAAGGTAATTTTCTTTTAACTTCTTTCTAAAAACAGAAAGGTGTTTCTAAGATGGACATTTTGTTGCAGTGTAAATAGATTGTTTTAAGTAATTTTAATTGTTTAATAGAAGTTTTATCAGGCGTGCTTAGAAAAAAATGCATTTTGAAACCTTTATTTACTAAAATAATAGATACTCATGCAAAAACCTTGGAAAGCACAGAAAAGGGAAAGATATCTTATTATTCCATGATTCAGAGATACCTAGTATACTACTATTAATATTCTGATGTCTGTTCTTTCTTTAAAGTGACATATATATTTGGTGATTTAAAAAAACTAATATATGATGAACATTTACTCATGTCAATAAATATTATAATACGGTATAATTTTTAATGGCTGCATTGTGTTATAGTCCATTGTTTGATCTTCTTACTGGGTCCTTTATTATTTCCCATGTAGATTTTCTAGTTTCAGTGTAACACTTAGAGGAATATCCTTGTTTATGTAAATACACACATAGGCACTCACATGTATCTCTTCATACACCTGTTGGATCATTTTCTTTTCTTTTTTTTTTTTTTTTTGAGATGGAGTCTCGCTCTGTCGCCCAGGCTGGAGTGCAGTGGCTGGATCTCAGCTCACTGCAAGCTCTGCCTCCCGGGTTCACGCCATTCTCCTGCCTCAGCCTCCTGAGTAGCTGGGACTACAGGCGCCCGCCACCTCGCCCGGCTAGTTTTTTGTATTTTTTAGTAGAGACGGGGTTTCACCGTGTTAGCCAGGATGGTCTCGATTTCCTGACCTCGTGATCCGCCCGTCTCGGCCTCCCAAAGTGCTGGGATTACAGGCTTGAGCCACCGCGCCCGGCTGATCATACTCTTAGGATAAATTTCTAGAAGGTAATTGCTAAGGAAAAGGTATGGTTATGTTAAGGTGTTTCAAGAGTACTGCCATATTATCTTTTAGAAAGATTGTATCAGCTTAATTAACTGTTACCAGTAGTAAAAACTCCTATTTTCCTAAACTTTCACATGACTGAGCATTACTATTTTTTTTTAATCTTTGCAAATTTGGTTGATGAACAGTGGTATCACCTAGTTTGAATTTCTTTGATTACTAGTGATACTTTAGTATTTAAAATCTATGTCTTTTGCCTGGTTTATTTCTTTTGCAAAAAGCTTCTCAGTATCCTAATTTTCCTGTAGAGACTTTGATTTATTTTTTTCTTTCACTGTTTCAAAAGGAAAGATACATCATTATGCCTCATACATCTTCATATATTTCAAGACATATATTTTGCCCAATATTGAAATTGGGATTCATTTTATAGTTGACATGTAATATGAAAGTGGTAGTGTTCCAACTCCTACTTTTTTTCTTGAAAAGCTGCTATAATATTAAATCAGTGACATATCTTATAGTATCTTTAAAAGTGGAGAGTTCAATATGTTATAATTGACTTTTTCCAATCTTTTTTGCCATCTAACTTTGCCATGTGGAAATTATTATCATTATTTTTATGTAGTATATTAAATGTTATTTTTGTGGTTTCTATTTTGCTCTTATGCTTAGAAATGTTTTCCTTTCTTGGGTTTATATAAATGGTCACTTATATGTTCTTCTAGTTTTTTTGGTGGTGTCATGTTTTGCATTTAAACATTTAATCTACTTGGAGTTTCTTTTGGTGTATGGTGTGATATGTACAAAAAGTGTATGTGTGTCTATCTGTATATATACATATATATGTGTGTGTATATATGTGTATATGCAGACACACACACACACACACACACACACACACGTTTCTCTTGTCCTCACAGAAGGGCAGCTGTCCCAGCTCCATGTAGTAAATAATCTGTTTCCCCCAACCAACTGAAAATGCCAATAACAGTATTTATTAAGTGCTTTTTATATTGGTCCCGTTTCTGAGTATTAACACTTTAATGTTGGATTTGAGAAGGCACTTCTAAAACAGAGCAGAGTACTTGAACATTTGAACATTTATGTGTATCACAGCCATTTTAGATAAGTTCCCTAGAATAAATTGTGTTTCATATGTTTTTATATACTATTGGAATTCTTTGGTAATTTTAGATTGTAATTAAGCCAAGCTCCTTGAGCAGGATGAAGACGATCTTCACACAGGAAATTTTTACTGAGCAGGTATTTCTTTTTATTCTTAGGTGCTTACTTAACTTTCTTTTACAATATTCTTTGGGAGAAAACTTGTGTGTCTTACCTTAAGAAAGTAATATGGTCGTTTTTCTTTTTAATCACTCATGATGATTTATATCATCATTGAAACTTTGTTTAAAAATAATTCATTTAAAATACACTTTTAAAACTAGTCATAACATAGCAAAGCATCTTTTGAATGTATATATTTTTGGAGACTGAGTAGATAATTAGGAGAATACTCTTAGATGCTGATGATCGGGCATCTCAAGAGGTAATTGTTTTCATGTGTCTGGAGAAAGATAAAATGAAGACCTATTTAAACCTTTAGGCTGTAAAATTCATTTCTAACTGGATTACAGGCTAGCGTCTAAATTTCTTTTACTTCACATGTTCTTCTTTAGCCTTAGCACTTTTGTCCATGGATAAGCCTAAGGATTTTTTTCATTTCTTTTTTTATCTTACTCTGTCACCCAGGCTAGTATACAGTGGTACAATCATAGCTCACTGCAACCTCTGCCTCCTGGGTTGGAGCAATTCTCCTGCCTCAGCCTCCCAAGTAGCTAGGATTACAGGTGTCCACCACCACGCCGAGCTAATTTTTGTATTTTTAGTAGAAATGGGGTTTCACCATGTTGGCCAGGCTGGTCTTGAACTCCTGACCTCTGGTGATCTACCCACCTCGGCCTCCCAGAGTGCTGGGGTTACAAGCGCGAGCCACTGTGCCCAGCCAGTTGTTGCTTTTTTATGGCTATTAATATCTTTATTTCTATATTTTACTATCCCTCCCTCCCTCAACACGCATACGCACATATATTCCTAAATTACAAATAGTCACACAGCATGTGGGAGAATCATAAGTTATTTGTTGTCTTTAAATTTGAACCAGTTGGAAGACAACTTTGAGGAGGGTCTTTAAAAGACAATTAGAGGCCGGGCGCGGTGGCTCAAGCCTGTAATCCCAGCACTTTGGGAGGCCGAGACGGGTGGATCACGAGGTCAGGAGATCGAGACCATCGTGGCTAACACGGTGAAACCCCGTCTCTACTAAAAAAAAAATACAAAAAACTAGCCGGGCGAGGTGGCGGGCGCCTGTAGTCCCAGCTACTCGGGAGGCTGAGGCAGGAGGATGCGTGAACCCGGGAGGTGGAGCTTGCAGTGAGCTGAGATCCGGCCACTGCACTCCAGCCTGGGCGACAGAGTGAGACTCTGTCTCAAAAAAAAAAAAGACAATTAGAGCCTATGCATGACATATTGATAATAAATATTTCTGGGTATATTTGTGTGGTGCTTTATAGTTCATATGATGTCCGAAAGGAATATTTTCCCCCTCATAACAATGCTTTGAGGCTGTATGGTAGTGTCCTGTTTTGTAGATGTGAAAAAGATTCAGAAGATAAAGTGACTTTTTCAAAGTCATTGAGCCCAGATTATATGCTTCAAATTTTTATTTATTTATTTATTTTATGTTATCACACCACTGTGTATGTATCTGTGTTTAAAAACAAAAAATTAGAGAATTATATAAATCCCTAAATGTACGTTTCCTCAGCATTCAAAAACAATTAAAACGTAATAATTTATTGTCATCATTCATTTCTAGGGACCACACTTATATTAGGTGTTGACAGTCTACTTATCTCTCTTTCAAAATAATTTTATATTTAGTTCTTTATATTACTAATACCATTTTTCCCTTTTAGGTTGTCACAGCTCATGCAGTTCGGGTCCCTGTCACCAGCAACCTGAGTGCCAACATTACTGGATTTTTGCCTATTCATTGTATTTACCAGCTTCTCAGGAGCCGTTCCTTTACCAAGCACAAAGTGTCAATAAAAGTATGCCCCTACAAATAAAACAAATAAAATAAAAGCATGCCCCTACATTTATATATATATATTTTTTCTTTTGAGATGGAGTCTTGCTCAGTCACCCAGGCTGGAGTGCAGTGGTACAGTCTTGGCTCACTGCAACCTCTGCCTCCTGGGTAAAGCAATTCTCTTGCCTCAGCCTCCCAGGTAGCTGGGACTACAGGTGTGCACCACCACGCCCGGCTAATTTTTGTATTTTTAGTAGAAATAGGGTTTCACTGCGTTGGCTGACTGGTGTCTAACTCCTGACCTCAAGTGATATGCCGGTCTTAACCTCCCAAAGTGCTGGGATTACAGGTGTGAGCCACTGTGCCTGGCCTACATTTATATTTCAAAGAACAACCCAAATTAATGCTTTCTCCCCAGTTAGTTATATTTCAGTTTGTAGGCCTTTATTGTGGGTTTTGTGTAGGAAATGTGTGGTATTAAGTTACTGGTCATTTATATAAGTATAGTAATTAAGTATAGTAATTATAATTATATAATTATAATACAGTAATTTCAGATTTTTAAAACAATGTAAGATTATTTTCAAAATGCATAATACTCCATTTAAGTTCTCAATAGTGACACGTGGCTATTTCATTAAAACTTTGAAACTTCCATTTTCTAATTTATTTATTTTTTTTTTTAAAGAGAAGTCTCACTCTGTCGCCCAGGCTGTCATAGCTCACTGTAACTTCAAATTCCTGGGCTCAAGCACTCCTCCCGCCACAGCCTCCTAAGTGGCTGGGACTATGGGTATGAGCCACCACTCCTGGCTTTTTGGTTTTTTTTGAGACAGAGTCTCACTCTGTCACCCAAGCTGGAGTGCAGTGGTGCTATCTCGGCTCACTGCAACCTCCGCCTCCCGGGTTCAAGTGACTCCCCCTGCCTCTGCCTCTGAGTAGCTGGTATTATAGGCTCCTGCCACCACGCCTGGCTAATTTTTTTTTTTTTTTAATTTTTAGTGGAGACAGGGTTTCACCATGTTGACCAGGCTGGTCTCAGACTCCTGACATCAGGTGATCCACCCGCCTTGGCCTCCCACAGTGCTGGGATTACAGGCATGAGCCACTGTGCCTGGTCTCACACCCGGCTTTAAAAAGCTTTTTTTGTAGAGACAGGGTCTCGCTATGTTGCCCAGGCTGGTCTGGTCTTGAACTCCTGGTCTTAGGCAATTCTCCTACTTTGGCCTCCCGAAATGGGATTACAGGTGTGAGCCACTGCAATGGGCCTGGTTTTGTTTTACAAATTGGGGAAGTTGCCATGACTAGTATTTGTCGACTTGCCACAAGGACACCTCACACCTAACTTATGATTTCGATATGTTTTGATTTGTGTTAGTTGGCTATATCTAACAGTTAAAAGGCCCTCTAAAGAGAAGGTTGAGACCCAGGAGGTAAAGTAATCTGAAACTTTTTCAGAGGCTCTTTTATTTACAAAGAACAGTGAATAATATATGCATGATATATCACTTTTAATTGTCCCTTGTTTTTTGTGATTTAGTGAAATTATTTTCCAGCTAGATTGTATCTTCTGCTGCTTTATATTTTTAGCAAGTAAAATAGCTAAGACCTAAGAGTTCAAATGCACACCCAACATTTTACATGTCCTCCATCCAACAATAGTTAAGTGATAGTCTCCTGTAAGTGCTTGTCAGAGACACTTTCTTAGTCTATCTGAGAGTTTGCTGTGAAGGACCTATCTCTCTCTCTCCAAATTCGTATCTAATATGAGCTCTCCCATGACGACACACATAGTGCTTTAAATACAGATATGGTAGGGACTTAAAATATTTTTCCCACTACTTAAAAACTAATAGATTAAACCCAAAAGCTTCCAGTGGATGGTGCACCTAAGATGATACAGATATAAAGGTAGTTCATATTTTAAAATCAAAGATAGTTATGATACTAGATAATATATTTGGAACTGCCAAAAGTTAATAGTGAATTTTACTGATTCATAATTCATATAAAACTGTATGTACTTTTATAATTTTGCTTGATTTTTCTTTTTGCCACAATTCAGTGTCTATAACATTCTTTCTTAGGATTGGATTTACAGACAGCTGTGTGAGACCTCTACTCCACTTCATCCTCAATTACTTCCTTTGATTGATGTGTACATAAATTCTATACTTACTCCTGCATCGAAATCTAATCCAGAAGCCACAAATCAGCCAGTCACAGAACAGGAGATACTCAATATTTTCCAAGGAGTCACTGGGGTAAAATCGTTGTTCTTTGTATCTATTAACTTATTTTTCTTTTAGTTCTTCTTACTTATCCCATATTTTTATTTTCCTATCAGAGGACTTTTAGGTAGTTCTGAATTTAAAATTAGATTAAATTTCCTTAGATCACCTGTAAAAATTAAAAGAATGGTATTAGTTCCAACTAGTTTGCTAAACAGGCACTTGTGTGAGAATTTTTTTTTTTGGAGATGGAGTTTCACTCTTCTTGCCCAGGCTGGAGTGCAATGGCACGATCTTGGCTCACTGCAACCTCCGCCTCCCTGCAACCTCCGCCTCCCGGGTTCAAGTGATTCTCCTGTCTCACCCTCCTGAGTAGCTGGGATTACAGGCGCCTGCTACAATGCCCGGCTAATGTTTTGTATTTTTAGTAGAGACAGGGTTTCACCATGTTGTCCAGGGTGGTCTTGAACTCCTGACCTCAAGTGATCCTCCCGCCTTGGCCTCCCAAAGTGCTGGGATTACAGGTGTGAGCCACTGCGCCCAGCCAATAATTTTTTTTTTGTTTTTGAAGTTTCACTTTAAAATCTAAAGGGTGCCCTGGAAGATTGTGTGTTTGATCAAATACTGTGTGGGATTTCAAGATATTCAATGTAGGTTTGTTTAGCATCCTGGGAATCTAAGATATACCTACATACATTTAGCGAGAACTTTGTTTTGTTTTGTTTTGTTTTTGAGACAGAGTCTCACTCTGTTGCCCAGACTGGAGTGCAGTGGCACGATCTCAGCTCACTGTAAACTGCCTCCTTGGTTCAAGTGATTCTCATGCCTTAGCCTCTCGAGTAGCTGGGATTATAGGCACCTGCCACCACGCCTGGCTAATTTTTGTTTTTAGTAGAGACAGGGTTTTACTATGTTGGCCAGGCTGATCTCCAACTCCTCATCTCAGGTGATCCGCCTGCTTCGGCCTCCCAAAGTGCTGGAATTACAGGCATGAGCCACCGCTCCTGGCTCATGTAGGGAAAATTTGATTAAAGTATTTTTTCCTTAGTTTGTTAGAAGGGAAAAACAGTTGCATTTTTCACAAATATAATTAAGTATACAATGTCTTATTTAGGAGTTACTTTCTTCATGGTAATTTCATATAATACTTGGGACTCCTGTCTTTCAGAAGCAGCCTGATGGGTATGCTATTGAGTAGTAGCTGAAGTCTTTTGTTTGTCTTATCTTAAAGACCACTTAAGTATGTTGCCTTTCATCTCTCATGCCATCTCAGATTTCTTGTTGTTTTTTTGAGTTTAATATACACACAGCAACATTTCTCCTCTTTTACATGAGTTAGGAGCAGCAATGCTGAATAACCTATTTTGATTCTTTTACTATCAAGAAAAAAAAATCACTCATGAAATTCAAAGTATTTCAGAGTATTCGTAATATTTCCTCCAGGGTGACAACATCCGCCTTAATCAGCGTTTCAGTATCACAGCACAGCTTTTGGTGCTCTACTATATACTGTCTTATGAGGAGGCTCTTCTAGCAAACACAAAGACTTTAGGTAAGTTATACATAGAGGAATGGTTCTAGTGGTAGTTTATTTTATTAGCTTGCATTTTGTTACTTTCCAGACTGTTTTTTGATAAAAGAAGGGCAATATTCTAACAGACTCTAGTATCACTTTATAATCTTTGCAATGTGGGCATTGTATACTTGATACATAAATCATGCATGTTGGGGTACGTAACCATAATTTATGGCCCAGTCCTCCTTATAGGAGGCTAAATGAATAGATAACAGAATTGCCTGTATTTTAACAGTTGTATAGGTCTTGTTCACTAAATATAAATTTAAAAGATACACGCGATGGAGCTGTAACTAAATTTTTTTCTCTTGATTTGAGTTTTGCCTGGTCTTCCTTCTGTTAGTATGAATAGTAACAACCTAATCAAAAACAATAGAAAAGGCCAGGTGAGGTGGCTTACACCTGTAATCCTAGCACTTTGGGAGGCCGAGGTGAGCAGATCACCTGAGGTCAGGAGTTCGAGACCAGTCTGGTCAACATGGCGGAACCCGATCTCTACTAAAAATACAAAAATTAGCCAGGCATGGTGGCTCATGCCTGTAATCCCAGCTACTCAGGAAGTTGAGGCAGGAGAATTGCTTGAACCCAGATGCGGAAGTTGCAGTGAACCGAGATTATGCCATTGCACTCCAGCCTGGTGGACAGAGTGAGATTCTGTCTCCAAAAAAAAAAAAAAAAAAAATAGAAGGGTTTCGTTTTGCTGTTAACATTGGGCTGGGCATGGTAGCTCATTCCCTGTAATCTCAGTGCTTTGGTACTTTGGGAGGCTGAAATGGGATGGTCACTTGTGCTCAGAGTTTGACACTAGCCTGGGAAACAGCAAGATGCCTATCTCTACACACACACGCACATGCACACAGAGAATGTCACTGAAATGGGCTTTGAAACTTAAGTTACTTCACATGATATCAGAAGGTCAGATTTAGCATACATGATATCAGTGTAAAATGGTATTTTTTCCTGTATTTGAAAAGGTTTACCTGTGTTTAGACTTTCTACATGTGTATAGTTCATTTCATTTCATCTGTTTGTTTTTCGAGACAGGGTCTCACTCTGTCACCCAGGCTGGAGAGCAGTGGCATGAACATGGCTCAGTGTAGCCTTGATCTCTGGGGCTCAAGGGATTCCTGCCTCAGCCTCCCATGTAGCTGGGACCACAGGTGGACACTACCACGCCCGGCTAATTTTTTAAATTTTTTGTAGAGATGGGATTTGCCATGTTGCCAGGCTGGTCTCAAACTCCTGGGCTCGAGCAGTCCTCCTCGCTTGGCCTCCCAAAGTGCTGGGATTACAGGTGTGAGTGATCCTCCTGACCTTTGTGTGTAGTTTTTAATTTGTTTTTCTTTTTTTTTTTGAGACAAACGTCTCACTCTGTCACCCAGGCTGGAATGCAGTGGTGTGATCTTGGCTCACTGCAACCTGCACCTCTCGGGTTCAAACAATTCTTCTGCTTCAGCCTCCCGAGTAGCTGGGATTACAGGTGCATGCCACCATGCCTGGCTAATTTTTGTATTTGTAGTGGAGATGGGGTTTCATTGTGCCGGCCAGGCTGGTCTCGAACTCCAGACCTCAAGTGATCCATACACCTCAGCCTCTCCAAGTGCTGGGATTACAGGTGTGAGCCACCATGCCTGGCCTGGATTTTCTTTTTTATGTTTGACATTTTCTGTGCCTTTGACTGCTACAGTTCTTGTTTGGAATTTCTGTATATTCTCACATATTTAATCTTTTCTGTGAACTTTATAATAATTTTATTACATTTCACAAATGAAAATTATATTGGAATTTTGATAAGAATTATGTTAAACTTACAGATTAATTTGGAGAGAATTTACTTCTTTGCAGTATTAAGTCTTCCTATCTAAGAACCTGAAATAATTTCTGCTTTTTAATTGTACACATACAGTTTAGTGGGACAGAGGCTTGCTGTGTTGCCCAGGTTGGAGTGCAGTGGCGCGATGTCAGCCCACTGCAACCTCTGCCTCCCGGGTTCCAGTGATCCTCCTGCCTCGGACTCCCAAGTAGCTGGGATTACAGGCACCCGCTACCACGCCCCACTGAATTTTGTATTTTTAGTAGAGATAGAGTTTTACCATGTTGGTGAGGCTGGCCTCAAACTCCTGACCTCAAGTCATCCACCCACCTTGGCCTCCCAAAGTGCTGGATTACAGATGTGAGCCACTTTGCCTGGCCTTAGTTTAGTCTTATAGTTAACTCATGTAAACCCTTATAACAGTTCTATGAGATAGGTGGTGGTTATGTTTATTTTACAAGGGAGAACACTGAGGCACAAGGAAGTTAGGTAACTTCCCTAAGTTAGTATTAAGTATTGTAGTAAGTATTGGAACCAGGATTTGACTACTTCTGGATCCTATAACTATTGTTTTAACTGCCTTCTGATTTTTTCTTAATTCATAAAAGATTGGTATGGAAAACTATGCTAACTTGTTAACTTAAAGGGGAGATTGTATCTAAATAAGAGTATATGATAATATATGTGGTCTATATAGAGAGTGATTCTCAACCTTTATTCTAACACTTGCACTTATATACTTCTTGTCCTTAATAAGAGAAAAATGGTTGAGCTTTACTGTTTGTGGTTTATAAGAGAATAAACATATTGTATATCATTTGTCAAACTACAAACACCCTGATTGAGATTCTCATATATTCCTGTGGTGTAAAGGGAAGTACCTTGGAATGAGTTTTGGGTGCCAGGCATATACAATATGGTAGAGATGAGACAGAGAAAGATAGTGTTGACTGGCAAGGACCTTTACTCTCTGTGATCTGAGGATTCACTGAAGGTGGCCAAATCTGTATTTAAATAAGAAGACGATGGCTGTAGGGTGAAGGATGGATTAAATTGGAGGCAGGGAAAGTGGACCATAGAAGATATATAAACAAAGGGTGAGTAGGCACTGAATTAGGATAGCAGCAAAAGTACAGAAATTAAAATGGACTTAGAAGAAAAAAAAGGGTGGACCTGGCTGGTTGAAGGTAGGAGTTGTGAGAGAAGGAAGTCAAATTCATATTGCCTAACTTAATTTAAAAAGAGGCCAGGTATGCACTTTGGGATGCCGAGGCTGGTGGATTACCTGAAGTCAGGAGTTCAAGACCAGCCTGGCCAACATAGCGAAACCCCTTCTCTACTAAAAATACAAACATCTGGGCATGGTGGCGGGCACCTGTAGTCCCAGCTACTTGGGAGGCTGCGGCACAAGAATTGCTTAAACCCAGGAGGCAGAGGTTGCAGTGAGCCAAGATTGAACCACTGCACACCAGCCTGGGTGACAGTGACTCCTCTCAGGGGAAAAAAAAAAAAGAGTCAATCACCACTATTGTATATAATTTGATAAAATCCACTGTGGCTCACGCCTGTAATCCCAGCACTTTGGGAGGCTGAGGCACGCTGGATCCCCTGAGGTCAGGAGTTCAAGACCAGCCTGGCCAACATTGCAAAATGCCGTCTCTACTAAAAATACAAAAAATTAGATGGGCATGGTGGTGGGCGTCTGTAATCCCAGCTACTCGGGAGGCTGAGGCAGGAGAATCGCTTGAATCTGGGAGGCGGAGGTTGCAGTGAGCCAAGATCACGCCACTGCACTCCAGCCTGGTGACAGAGTGAGACTCTGTCTCAAAAAAAAAAAAAAAAAAAAAAATTGGCTGGGCCCAGTGCTGTAATCCCAACACTTTGGGAGGCTGAGGCAGGCTGGATCCCCTGAGGTCAGGAGTTCAAGACCAGCCTGGCCAACATTGCAAAATGCCGTCTCTACTAAAAATACAAAAATCAGCCAGGCATGGTGGTAGGTGCCTGTAATCCCAGCCAATCTACTTGAGAAGCTGAGGCAGGAGAATTGCTTGAACCCAGGAGGCGGAGGTTGTAGTGAGCTGAGATCGTGCCACTGCACTCTAGCCTGGGCAAAAAGAGTGAGACTCTGGCTCAAAAAATAAAATAAAATAAAATTACAGTTTCTTTTTATAAGATGCATTGGAATCATGAAGCTCTAGGCCATCTGTTCATGATCACATTTGATCTCCCAATTAGATTTGGGAAAATCTTGACTCACTTGTTGGTTCTTTTAGTGTAGGGCACTTTTGCACATTGCTTCTCTCACCTGTTATGAATTTTCTTTTGTCTAGTTTTAAATTTCAGGGCATTTTCCAGATCTTGCTCCAGGTATGTTCTTGTTCTTCCTGTGTAGCCACTTGTTTTCGTAATGATTCTTCATCTTTTATATGCTATATTCGCAGGTTAATTGCATTAAAAGTAATTTGACTTTGTTTTTATTTCCATTTGGGTTGAAGGTTAAGATTTCTGTTGTTTCTGGACATTTTATTTATTTTACACTTTTTATCTTTGATAGCTGCCATGCAAAGAAAGCCCAAATCATACTCTTCTTCTTTAATGGACCAGATTCCTATCAAGTTCCTTATTCGACAGGCTCAAGGGCTACAGCAGGAGTTGGGAGGTATGTTTTAATTTGCTGTTTACTGCTAAAGTTTATTGTTAAAAAAACCTTACTGTTTGTAATGTTATGAAGTGTAATAGGTGCTTAACGTTAAAAATTCAAACAGTTCAAGAGTGAAATTCCTCTTTGCCTCCCTCACTAAATCTGTTATTTCAGTTATTGCAAACCACCCTGCGCCTTAAAACACCACCTTAGCTATTTGCAGTTGGTATGTATTTTCAGGCTTTTTTCTCCTATAGGTTGAACTGTATGAAATTGCAGATATTTGACCTGGCGTGGTGGCTCACGCCTGTAATCCCAGCACTTTGGGAGGCTGAGGCAGGAGGATCACGAGGTCAGGAGATCGAGACCATCCTAGCTAACATGGTGAAACCCCGTCTCTCCTAAAAAAAATACAAAAAATTAGCTAGGCGTGGTCGCGGGTGCCTGTAGTCCCAGCTACTCGGGAGGCTGAGGCAGGAGAATGGCGTGAACCTGGGAGGTGGAGCTTGCAGTGAGCCGAGATGCGCCACTGCACTCCAGCCTGCGCGAAATAGCGAGACTCCATCTCAAAAAAAAAAAAAAAAAAAGAAATCGCAGATATTCAGCTAATTTAGAGCTACAGAAACAGCAGGTTCTTGTGGTTGAACCTAACAGACACATAGAAGTAAAAAAAAATTTTTTTTTTTAACTCTGAATAGTATTGTACACTGCCTCTTTTGTTTGTTTGTTTGTTTTTGTTTTTGAGACAGTGGCTCACTCTGTCATCCAGGCTGGAGTGCAATGGCACGATCTTGGCTCACTGTAACCTCCACCTCCTGGGTTCAAGTGATTCTCGTGTCTTAGCCACTCAAATAGCTGAGATTACCAGTATGCGCCACCATGCCCATCTAATTTATGTATTTTTAGTAGAGACAGGGTTTCACTATGTTGCCCAGGCTGGTCTTGAACTCCTGGTCTCAAGTGATCTGTCCACCTCAGCCTCCCAAAGTGCTGGGATTACAGGAGTGAGTCACCATGTGCAGCCTCCCCTGCCTCTTCCAAGGCTTGTTTTTTTTTCTTAGAGTCTTGAACATCTTCACATATCGGTACAGGTAAATCTTCCTTACTGTTTCTGATTATTTTATGATCCATAGTATGGACATATTATAATATTTTACTATAAATCCTGTTAAGTAGAAATATTGTAGTGTTTTTTGAAATTAGATATTTTTCTTTTTTCTTTTTTTTTATCTTTAGGGAAAGAGTCTCACTACGTTACCCAGGCTGGAGTGCAGTGGTGTGATCATAGCTAACTGTAGCCTCAAACTCCTGGGCTGAAGCATCCTCCTACCTCAGCCTCTCTAGTAGCGGGGACTACAGGCCTATGCCACCATGCCCTGCTAATTTTCTAGAGATTTTTCTTAATTAAATACCTCTTTAATGTTTGAGTGTGGGTGTTTTTCTTTCTGTTAAGTTGGAATCTTCTTTTTTTTCTTTTTGAGAAGGAGTTTCGCTCTTGTCTCACAGGCTAGAGTGCAGTGGTGCGATCTCAGCTCACTTCAACTTTCGTATCCCAGATTCAAGTGATTCTCCTGCCTCAGCCTCCCAAGTAGCTGGGATTACAGGCACCTGCCACTATGCCTAACTAATTTTTGTATTTTTAGTGGAGACTTCATTTTGCCATGTTGGCCAGGCTGGTCTTGAACTCCTGACCTCAGGTGATCCACCCATGTCAGCCTCCCAAAGTGGTAGGATTACAGGTGTGAACCACTGTGTCCGGCTGGAATTTTCTTTCTCTTTATTATGGTTGGTTTCAAGGAGAAACATGAGCCTTCATTGGACATCGTTAACCAGATGTCTGCAGCATTTATTTACTTATATCTTTGTATAATTTTTTTTTTTTTAAAGTAGAGACACGGTTTCATCATGTTGGTTAGGCTAGTCTCGAACTCCTAACCTCAAGTGAAGAGCCTCCCAACGTGTTAGTATTACAGGTGTGAGCCATCATGCCTGGCTTCTTTGTATAATCTGTTTCCAGAAAATAATGTTATTTTTAACAGCATTTGGCAATTGATATGCTTTATTGAAAAGAGTATGAAATGTTGATTAGTTTACACTTTTGTAAGCAGTCTTTTTTGTGATGGTTGGGTATAATTTTAACTGTATATATACTCCTGTATGCATTTAGAAATTTAAATGTTTAAGTACCGCCATTTTTGATTGTTACAATGTCTTTTCAAACACAGAAACATCAATTTTAAGCTGTTTCTATGAGAAAGGAACTGGGTATTTTTTCTACTGGGATTAAGCAGTGGTATCATTTGATTTGCATAATAAGGGGATAATTAGATCTAAAGTACTTTGATTCCTACTACTACTGTGTAGTCTTACTGTTCTGATAATGATGATGATAATATGGTAGCAACAATATTTATTAGGTACTTATGTGCAAAGCACTTAGCATAGTAGTACTTCATTAATTCATTAACTAAATAGGCATTTGTATGGTGTCATAATTTTTTTTTGAGACAGCGTCTTGCTCTGTCATCCAGGCTGGAGTGTAATGGCACGATCTTGGCTCACTGCAACCTCCACATCCCAGGTTCAAGCAATTCTTGTGCCTCAGCCTCCCAGGTAGCCAGGATTACAGGCGTGTGCCACCACACATGGCTAATTTTTGTATTTTCAGTAGTGACAGGGTTTCCCCATGTTGGCCAGACTGGTCTCGAACTCCTGGCTTCAAGTGATCCATCCCCTTCAGTCTCCCAAAGTGCTGGGATTATAGGCATGAGCCACCACGTGCAGGCCTCTCATTATTAACATTATACATAATAGTCATGAATAGTCAAACTGTGGTATAGGTAAAATGTTATAAATAAGGCTTTGATTTGGTAACAAGTTTTCCCATTTCTTTTGATCTTCTTTAATACTTCTGGAACCAAGATAAAATGCCCCCTGTTGTGGGTATCATCAGTACTGCTTCTCTTGGCTGACATACGTAGCTGTGTGACTTTAGAATTGTTAATGTTAATACATATCTTTCAGTGTGGTTTGTTCCTTACGGTAGAATGGGAGGCATTGCTTACTTTGTATGAATGTTAGGGAGAGATGAGAAAATGTACATAAAGTACCTGAGACCTTTCAGGTATTTGAAGTGGCAACTTTAATTTTACCACATCTATAGCGATGATTCTCAACAGGGTTGGAGGAAAGGGCATGTTCTCTACAGAAGCCTGTCAGTATTTCTGAGTAGGACCTTTTCCAAACCATATATGATAGTCCCCAAATGGACATTCTTTTCTCCTCCTTTTTCCTCTTCCCTGAACTCTTGAACCATTGCTATGTCAAACAACTTTAGGAGACTATTATGTTGGGTGGGATGGAAGAAAGTTCAAAGCTTTCTTTATGAGTAGTAGTTCCCAGCTCACTGTTTATCACATTACTTGGGGATCTTCATTTAAGCAGTTTCCCCTGGTCAAATGACTATACACAAGTTCTTAAACTGTAGTTTGCATACACAAGGAGTGCACATTCCTAGGGCTCCATTCTACAGCTTCTGATCTCATCACCTGGGATGGTATTCATTATTCTGCACATGAAACAAGCTTCCCAAACTTATGATGCTGGTGGTGCTCTAATCATTCTTTTTTTATTTTTGAGATGGAGTTTTGCTCTTGTTGCCCAGGCTGGAGTGCAGTGGTGTGATCTTGGCTCACTGCAATTTCCACCTCCCAGTTCAAGCGATTCTCCTGCCTCAGCCTCCCGAGTAGCTGGGATTACAGGCGCCCACCACCATGCCCGGCTAATATTTGTATTTTTAGTAGATACAGGGTTTCGCCATGTTGGCCAGGCTGGTCTTAAACTCCTGACCTCAGGTGATCCACCTGCCTCAGCCTCCCAAAGTGCTGGGATTACAGGTGTGAGCCACCGTGCCTAGCCATCTAATCATTCTTTGAGAATCACTGACTTAGAGCATAACCTCTCTTTCCTTGTGGGCTGGTGGTTTGATGAAAATGAGAGGGGTGGGGAAGCTTCTGGTGTTTGAGCATGAAGAATCCAATTGATTTTCTGTAAATTTTCAAGGGTTGCATTCAGCTTTACTACGTCTCCTTGCTACTAACTACCCACATTTATGTATTGTGGATGACTGGATTTGTGAAGAAGAAATCACAGGGACTGATGCCCTGCTACGGCGAATGCTCCTGACTAATAATGCTAAAAATCATTCTCCCAAACAACTCCAAGAAGGTATAGTAAATTATTGATACTTCTTTAACCCCTTTTGTAGTACAAGGAGATGCTAGGCTAATTTAAATCTTATACAGAATTTTCCTGCGGATATAACAATGTTTTGGTGAATATATTTTAATTATATAAAATACTCTTTGCATTTAAGGAATTTTACGCTCCCTTCTCCTTCCTCTTCCCCCCTTCCCCCCTTTCCCCTTTTACCCCTTTTCCAGTTTCCCCTTTTACTCCTTTACTCCTTTCCCCCTTTTTTCTGTTTTCCCTTTCCCCCTTCCCTTTCCTTTCCTTTTGTGTTTGTGTGTGTCTTTCTCTCTGTCTGTCACCCAGGCTGGAGTGCAGTGGTGTGATCTCAGCTCACTGCAGCCTCCACCTCCTGGGCTCAAGCAATCCTCCTACCTGAGTCCCACAAGTAGCTGGGACTACAGGTATGAGCCACCAGGCCTGTCTGATTTTTTAAGTTTTTGTAGAGATGGGGTTTCACCATGTTGCCCAGAGTGGTCTCGAATTTGTAAGTTTGAGTGATCCTCCTGCCTCAGCCTCCCGGAGTGCTAGGATTAAGGCGTGAACCACTGTGCCCGGCCAGGAATTTTAACCATTTCTTTCTGATGTGCTTGTATCTTTTCTCTCATAGGTTCTATATTGTATCACTAAAAAGGTGGTGTGGTTTTAGAAAGGTTCTAAACTGGTTAGAAATAGGTGCAGTGGAATAGGACTATATACTTGCTGTTAATGGAGAATGTTCTTCTAGATCAGCACTGTCCAATAGAAATATAATGTGAACTATAACACCTACATATAATAGGTGTAAATATAATGTGAGCTATAACACCTATAAACTTTCCAGTAAAAAGAAACAGGCAACAGTAATTTAAATAATCATTTTATTTGACCAAATATGGCCAATATTTTTTCTTTTTGTTTTTTTGAGACAGAGCCTTGTTCTGTTGCCTACTCTGGACTGCAGTGGTGCAACCTTGGCTCATTGCCTCCCAGGCTCTAGCAATCCTCCTGCCTTAGCTTCCCCAGTACCTGAGACTACAGGTACATGCCACCACACCGAGTTAATTTTTGTATTTTTTGTAGAGAAGGGGTTGCCATGTTGCTCAGGCTGGTCTCAAACTCCTGGGCTCAAGCAGTCTGCTTGCCTTGGCCTCCCAAAGTGCTGGAATTACAAGCATGAACCACCGTGCCCGGCCTGCCAATATTATTTCACCATGTAATCAATATTAAAATTTTAATGAGATATTTTACCCCCCACTACACTCCTGCACTTAGTCTTTGCAATTTATTGTGTATTTTACACTTATAACACACCTCAATTTAGACTAGTTATTTCAGATGCTCAATAGCCAGATGGGGTTAGTGATTATTGGAGAGCATAGTTCTAGATATTTTTTAGTAACAGCAATCTTCTGGATGCTTACATCCTATAAGGGGACCACCTGGAGGAAAGTTTCAAGAAGTTTGAACCTTTCAATGAATGTTAGCTATCAAAAGCAATACTTCAGCATATTTTCCTTTTTCAGTCCTGTTTTTAAAATCAGTGTGGGCTGGATGCAGTGGCTCATGCCTGTTATCTCAGCACTTTGGAAGGCCAAAGCAGGAGGATCACTTGAGGCCGGGAATTCAAAACCATCCTGGGCTCTTCATTGGTAAAGGCAAGAGGGGGATTAAAAAAAAAAAAAAAAAAGACCAGCCTGGGCAACATAGCAAGACTCCCACCTCTAAAATGAAAAAATAAAAAATAAGATCAGTCTGATTTTTTTTTTTTTTTTGAGACAGGGTCTGTTGCCCAGGCTCAAGGTTGGAGTGCAGTGGCAGGAACGCAGCTCACTGCAAACTCCATCTCCTGGGCATAAGGAATCTTCCTGTGTCAGGCTCTTGAGTACCTGGTATCACAGGTGCACCATCACATACAGCTAATTATTTTACTTCTTATAGAGATGCGGTCTCGCCATGTTGCCCAGACTGGTCTTGAACTTCTGGACTCAAGCAATCCTCCTGCCTCGGCCTCCCAAAGTGCTGAGATTACAGGTGTGAGCCACCACGCCTATCCCATTAATGTGATCTTTAAAAAAAAACATATTTTTGTTCTTTATGAAAGAACAACTACACTTCCATGAATTTTTAATTTAATAAGGGCCCTTATTTTTTAATTTTTTTGAGATGGAGTCTTGCTCTGTCACCCAGGCTGGAGTGTGCTGGTGCAATCTCAGCTCCCCACAACCTCTGCCTCCTGGTTTCAAGTGATTCTCCTGTCTCAGCCTCCCAAGTAGCTGGAATTACAGGTGCCTGCCACCACGCCTGGGATTACAGGCTCATTTTTGTATTTTTAGTAGAGATGGGGTTTCACCATGTTGGCCAGGCTGATCTCAAACTCCTGACCTCAAGTGATCCACCCACCTCGGCCTCCCAAAGTGCTGGGATTACAGGTGTGAGCCACTGCATCCAGCTGGCCCTTATTTTAATAAGTTTAGTGGAAATTGTATCCAGGTTTCTGTAGGAAACAGTAGCAAGTAACTATAGTTACTTTTTAGCCACATTGTTTTCTTGATTTGTTTGGCCTGTAGTCTGAGAGAACAATATTACTTCCTGCTTAATAAACTGTACAGAATTCAGATTATGATTACTAAATTTTCTTTTTAGCATTTTCAGCTGTCCCAGTAAATCACACACAAGTGATGCAGATTATAGAACACTTGACTCTACTCTCTGCCAGTGAACTTATACCATATGCAGAAGTGTTAACATCCAATATGAGCCAGCTGTTGAATTCAGGGGTTCCACGGAGAATTCTGCAAACAGTCAATAAACTATGGATGGTTCTTAATACTGTGATGCCTAGAAGGTAAATTCAGTGTATTGTTATATGTAATAGATAATTGTAGAGCAGTGATAATATACAGTAACCTAAATTTAATTGTTTGAAAAATTTTTCACAAGACCCTCATAGCAGTATTTGTTGACCGTATGACAATATATCTCCTTTCTTAAGACTACTAAATGGTTGTTATATCTTTAAGTAAAAGCAAACTTTATTGAAATAGAAACCTTACAGTATTTCTAACTTTAGGAAGTTCTTGAAAATTGGGTTATCATGTATAGTTATTTGTGGCTAATTATGATTTAGATCACTGCTGTATCTTGGATCTTTGCAGTTGTTCCAAGTTTTGCTGCACGTTAAAATCACCTGGAGAGTTTTTACCACTACTGATCCCCAAGTTGGAACCCATGCCAATTAAATCAGACTGTTTGTGGGTGGGAGTCAGGCATCAGTACTTTTTAAAAGATTCCCCAGGTGATTTCAGTGTGCAGCAAAGTTTGTCTTTGGTCATTGGGTCTCTGCCGGTTCATAGATTGGATCCTTAACACCTGGACATGCCTAGAAAACAGAATACTGGGCTTGAGTTAACTGAGATTTTGATTCAGTAGGTCTGGGTGAGATCTGGTCATATTTATACTTTGGAAAATTAATTTTTACTTATGTGAGTAAATGCACATAACTTAAGAAGTTAAATAGTATATAAGATCTGCCTCACACCTTTCTAGTTTAGACTTTGGCTCCCCAGAGACAACTATTTTCAGCTCTTCTATCTTTTTATTCTGGTATTTATATCCTCCCCATATATCTCTTATAATGACTGTGATTTCCTGATTTTTCAATTTAGAAATTATCTGTTGATTTTCTACTCTACAAGGTGAAGGTTAGTTAGCTCTCTTATTTGCTTCCTCTCCTGTGAGTCCCACTTCTTCTAATACACATTTCCCCTTTTCCTGTTTCTCCCAACACGGGTATATTAAAATGTTTTGTTAAAGCAGTATTTCAAATGCATATTATTATGACTACAGAAGTGATTTTATAATTGACCTATGTGATAATCTTTTGATTACAATTTCATTCTTATGCAAGTGCCCTCCCCCTTACTCAACGTATACTTTGGGTTAGTTAATACTTACCTTTTTTCCATTTGCTCAGGTTTTTAAATTGGTGTCAATAACCAATAACTAATTCATCCCCAAGCTTCATTATTGAGGGGAAATTTACTTCACACTTAATCATAACACATCAGATAATGTATCATTAGCATTTTTTTGGCTGAGTTCATTGGCTCATGCCTGTCATCTTAGCACTTTGGGAGGCCGAGGTGGACGGATCACTTGAGCTCAGGAGTTCAAGACCAGCCTGGGCAACATGGTGAAACCCCGTCTCTACAAAAAATACAAAAATTAGCAGACCGTAGTGGTGCATGCCTGTATTCCCAGCTACTTGGGGGGCTGAGGCAGGACAATCGCTTGAGCCCAGGAGATCGAGGCTTCAGTGAGCTGAGATCGCGTCAGTGAGACCCTGTCTCAAAAAAAAAAACAAAACAAAAAAAAACAAAAGAAACACTATATATTTTTTTTCTTGGAGACATTCCTTTCAGAGCTTTTTGTCTTCATGTTGCCATCTGGGACATATACAGTTGCCATCCTAGAGTTGCTATTGTCACTCTTCTTTGTTGGATTTCATATTTTTCTCTTTCTTGGTTTATATCCTCATTTTAGTGAATGGAACACACACTCATCTTGCTTCCTGAGAAAGGGAGTGTGGTAAACTTAACTTTTTTGAGATGCTGAATTATTCTCATATGTGATTGATATTTAGCCTAAGTGTAGAATTCTAGTTCATTTTTTAAAAATTTATTTTTTATTCTTATTTTTTAGAGACAGGGTCTTGCTTTGTCACCCAGGCTGGACTGCAGTGGCACAATCACAGTCCACTGCAACCTCAAACTCATGGGCTTAAACGATCCTTCTGCCTCAGCCTCCCAAATAACTAGACTACAGGTGCACACCCCCGTGCCTGCCTATTTTATTTAGTTTTTGTAGAGATGGGGTCTCGCTATGTTGCCCAGGTTAGTCTTGAACTCCTGGACTCAAGTGATCCTCCTGCCTCAACCTCCCAAAGTACTGGGATTACAGGTGTGAACCACTGTGTCTGGCCCTGTTCTTAATTCTAAGAGCTGTTTTTAATCTGCATGTTCTTAAATGCCTCTTGTTCTTGTTTCATGTATAAAATATTTTATTCTTTTAGGATATTAGCAATTCAAAAATTTTTTTACTCCTTATTCCTACATTTTCTGTTTTTTTTTGAGTTCTTTTTTTTCTGTATATTTTAATCTTTTTCAAAATAAAAGCTTTCTTTAAGTGTCTGATGATCCTTGTTTATACAGTCATTTAAGAGGGGGAAGTCCTCTGGTGGATTCCTGGGCTTCACTGTAAGATCAAGCACCTTCTGTATTGGCATAACCCTTAGTAATCATGATGTGCAGTCATTTTAGTAATCACTTTTATAATCTATTAATGTCTAATCTCAAAGTGGCATCTCACTTGGAGACTTTATGATGATAAATCCAGAATGATGACTTATATTTATGGAGCTAGATACAGAATGTTTTGGCAAGTTTATTTCATTTACAGGTATTATATCATTTCTATTTTACAGATGAGTAAACAGTTTAGAGAGCCTCAGTGACTTACACAGAGTCGTATAGCAAGTATGGTATAACTAAGGTTTTAACTCAGGTTTTAATTTTATATGCCATGATTATTCCATTACAACTGTGAACGTTTTTGAGACTACTTTGTGTTTACTATTTTATCCCTTTTTTTTTAAGAGATGTTATAATAGGTTAGATGTCTGTAGCTTAAATTTTTCAAAGTTCATTCATACCTATTTTCTAATTATTTACTGAATATAACTTTCTAAGATAGAAAGGACTGGATGGCTACAGATTTTAATTATATAAAAACTGTTTTGAACATGTGATTATTTTCTTATCAGGCTATGGGTGATGACGGTTAATGCACTTCAACCTTCAATAAAGTTTGTACGACAACAAAAGTATACTCAGAATGACCTGATGATAGATCCTCTCATTGTCCTAAGGTGTGATCAGAGGGTTCACAGGTACATGTCATTTGAGTTTCATTTTTATTATAGAGCTGTACTTTGGAGAGTCAAAAGAAATTGATGAAATTCAGTTTAAACTTATATTTTAATTGTGCTTGCAGATAAGTAGGCAGTGTGACCTGTACAGTTTTTTGTCTTACTTTTTAGTTGTGTTTATTCGTGAAATGTATATACATTTTAATATTTAATATGTGATTAATAAAACCTAGCTTTAGAGAAATGTCATTCTTGGTTTTGGTGCCATCAATAGTGGTTTTTATCTCTCTCACAATTTAGACCAGTAAAGAATAACACTGTTTCTGCTCTCACGTTAAAAAGGTTTTTAAAAAACTGGTTACTTGTGAACCATTACCTGCATTAAAACTGTGACCTTTTTGGCATGCCAAATAGTGATGTTAGCTTCATCAATTCCACATTTGGCTCTAAATCCTTACCAATTGCTAAACTTAAGCATTGCTTTGAAGTGGCTTCTTCTCAAAAGGTAGAATTTAGTTAACTCCTATCATTAATCTTTGAATCACAGTTGTTATGATAAGTACTATCAAAAGTATATAAGTTAAGGGGCTTGCCTTTAAAGTGATTATCATCTGCATGGGACGTAAGACAGATACGTGATAAGTTACATAATATGGTCATGTGGATGAATGGCGTAGTAAATGAATGTTCTTAAAAGTTCAGGAAAGATGCAGAGGAGATGGGGCATGGGTAAAGTTTTATAGAATGGAGTTAGGGCTGGTTCGAGTGCAGTGGTATTTACAACTGATTGATTATAACCAGGTACAGATTTCTTTGTTCCCTCTCCACTCCCACTGCTTTATTTAAACTTAAAAAAAGAAGAGTGGACATAGGGTTTAGGTGAATATTTGTTCATCTAATAGTATAAAGATGGGGGTTAGGAAGTCAAGGAAGGTACTTTGAGAAAAAGAATAGTACAAGCCGAAGTTTAGAAGCAAGAATGAGAAAGGCGTGAAGAGGGTTATTTTTGAGAAGAGCACATTTTATAGTTGGAAAGTTAAATTGGGGTCAGGCTATTGAGGGCATTGAATATTAGGCTAATGTGGTTTGGGTTATAGCTTAGGAAAAGATGCTTTGTGCTAGATGGATTAGAGGGAAGAGAAACTAGTAAGGAAGACTAAATAGGATACACTTGATATTTAAACTTGTCTGTCATCAACCAAGGGATGGCATTCTCCAAGTGACAAAATCTGCAAAATTGCTAAATATGGTTTAGTAAGGTTAAGGTCTCATTGGAAATAGGAATCAGAAGAACAAACTGTATGTGTAAATGATGTTAAGTATCTAATAAAAGGAAAACTACAATAAATAACACTTCTAGAAAACAGCTGTTTCTCAAAAAAATGATTTATCATTGTTAAAAATCCACTGAAGTAGGTGAGCTTGCACATGAATCACTTCAGGTGATTCAGTTTTTAAGGGAGTTACTAAATTCTGCTATCAAATTGTATCTAATGTTTTTGTAGCTTGGATTTTTCACTTAACAACTTGTGAGCCTTTTTTCATGTTAATATTCTTTTTTCAAATTTGTTTTTATTTTTTGAGTTGGGGGTCTTGCTATGTTGTCCAGGCTGGTCTTGAGCTCCTGGGCTTAAGCAATCTTCTTGCCTCAGCCTCCTGAGTAGCTGGGATTACAGTTGTATGCCACCGTGCCTAGTTTAGATTCTTTTTTTTTTTTTTTTCTGAGATGGAGTCTCGCTCTCTCGCCCAGGCTGGAGTGCAGTGGCCGGATCTCAGCTCACTGCAAGCTCCGTCTCCTGAGTTTAGGCCGTTCTCCTGCCTCAGCCTCCCGAGTAGCTGGGACTACAGGTGCCCGCCACCTCGCCTGGCTAGTTTTTTGTATTTTTTTAGTAGAAACAGGGTTTCACCAGGTTAGCCAGGATGGTCTCGATCTCCTGACCTCGTGATCCGCCCATCTCGGCCTCCCAAAGTGCTGGGATTACAGGCTTGAGCCACCGCACCCGGCCTAGATTCTTATATTAATTGGCTATGTGGTATTCCATTTTATAGATTCGCTATGCTTAACCCAATCCCCTAGGATATTTTATTTCTAATTTTTGCTATTATCAATAGTGCTGTGGTGATTATGTGCATTTCCCCATGCTGAGTATTCCAGTAGAACATGGAGAAATGGAATTATTGGGGCAAAAGTATTGTGCTCATTTTCAAGACTTTTATTTCATATTTTCATTCTACTATGTGGAAAGGCTGAACTGGGCCGGGTGCGGTGGCTCACGCCTATAATCCCAGCACTTTGGGAGGCCGAGACGGGCGGATCACGAGGTCAGGAGATCGAGACCATCCTGGCTAAAATGGTGAAACCCCGTCTCTACTAAAAAATACAAAAAAACTAGCCAGGCGAGGTGGCGGGCGCCTGTAGTCCCAGCTGCTCGGGAGGCTGAGGCAGGAGAATGGTGTGAACCCGGGAGGCAGAGCTTGCAGTGAGCCGAGATCCGGCCACTGCACTCCAGCCTGGGCGAGAGAGCGAGACTCCGTCTCAAAAAAAAAAAAAAGAAAAAGAAAGGCTGAACTGGTTTACATTCCATATCAGTGTTTGATATTATATACTTTCCTGTACTATTTTATATAATGTTTGCCAATTTGATAGGTGAAAATAGATTCCCATTTTAATTTATATTCTTGTTGGATTGGACATTTAATAGTATTTATTGACCATTTTATTTTTTCTTTGTATTTTAGCCTATATTCCTTGTTGACTTAAAGAGGTGTTTATCTATAAAGGATATCAACTCTTTGCACATATATTACAGTTTTTCTTCATGCATTATTGTTTTGCCCGCACCCGGTCGTCTTTTCTTTAGAGTTTACATTATACATATTTGACTTTAGCTGATAAGATGAAACAAATAATACTATTTATATAATTTTGAAATATAGAGAATAAGAAATATATATTAAACTTCTGAGAACGAGTATTTCAGTGGGAAAAGTTACTATGTGCTACTCAGGTTTTTCTCAGCATTTAAATTAAACTGATCATGTTCTGGCTAATTTATAAATTTATATCCTTTCTGATATATTTTTCTTCTTTGCTTTCCTTGTTTAGATGCCCACCACTGATGGATATTACCCTACACATGTTGAATGGATATCTTCTTGCATCTAAAGCCTACCTTAGTGCTCATCTGAAGGAAACAGAGCAAGATAGGTCTTCCCAGAATAATACAATTGGCTTAGTTGGACAAACTGATGCTCCGGAAGTTACCAGAGAAGAATTGAAAAATGCATTATTGGCTGCTCAGGTAAATTTTGCTAAAGTAATATTTAATCAAAAAGAGCAAGGGGTTCTCTACTAGTGTAATCAGTTGAGTAGATGGCACGTTATGCCCTCCGTGTACATTGGTGACATATTGTGCATTTCTTTTATTATAGAATCTATTACAATGATGTTACCTTTGCTTCTGAATATCAGATATATTTCTGAAATAAGGAATCTTCATGATATGAGTGAAATAACCATTTAAATAAGATTTATATTTTAGTAAAATTTTAGTGTTTACCTATTCTGAGTTTAGAGTTATATGTTTATTCATTCAGCAAATTTTTTTTTTTTTTTTTTGAGACAGAGTTTTGCCCTGTCACCCAGGCTGAAGTACAGTGGTGTGATCTTGGCTCAGTGCAACATCTGCCTCAGTTCTCCTGCCTCAACCTCCTGAGTAGCTGGGACTACAGGCACATGCCATCATGCCTGGCTAATTTTTGTATTTTTAGAGACAGGGTTTTGCTGTGTTGGCCAGGCTGGTCTCGAACTCCTGACTTCAGGTGATCCACCCGCCTCAGCTTCCTAAAGTGTGGGATTACAGGCATAAGCCATGGCACCCGGCCTCATTCAACAAATATTTATTGGAATACCTACTACGTGTCAAGTATTGTTCCAGGAGCTGGGGATATAGTGGTGAAGAAGACAAAATCCTTGATTATTTGTTTCTTAAGATCAAATGTCAAATTATGGAGGCAGACAACAGAAAAACAAGTGCATGTATAATAAAACGTCAGGCAGTGATAAACACCATGACAATATAAGCAGTTCAACTTTATATTTAGAAAAGTTTTTTGGCTGGGCATGGTTGCTTACACTTGGAATCCCAGCACTTTGGGTGGCTGAGGTGGGCAGATCACCTGAGGTCAGGAGTTTGAGACCCGCCTGGCCAACATGGTAAAACCCCATCTCTACTAAAAATACAAAAAGTAGCCGGGTGTGGTGGCACACACCTGTAGTCCCAGCTACTTGGGAGGCTGAGGCAGGAGAATTGCTTGAACCCGGGAGGTGGAGGTTGCAGTGAGCTGAGATCGCGCCTCTGCACTCCAGCCTGGGTGACAGAGCGAGACTCTGTCTCAACAACAACAACAAAAACAAATGAAATAAATAAATAAAATAAATCTGTTCCTAGGAATTTCAGATAAGGAATTAAAGATCATAAAAGCTAACATCTGTATAATGCTTACCATATGGTAGGTGCTAGCCTAAATTCTTTAAATATATTAGTTCATTTAATTTTTATAACCTACCTATGAGGTACAGAGTATTATCTCCATTTTTACAGAGTACGAAAATGTGACCCAGAGAAGTTAAGTGACTTGCTCATGGTTACACATTTAGTAAATGGCAGAACCAGTATTCGCTTCTAGGCACTCTGGCTCCTGACTCAACAACAACAACAAAAAACAAAACAATAACAATAACCAAAAACCAAAAACCCCTTTCCTCAACCACCATGATTATAAAGTAGTATAACCTCACTTTATAATAATTAAGTTCTTAATCACTTAGCTCAAGTAATTGTTTTCTGTATCTTAGGCAGTAGCTGTCTATCAGAGGTGGATGTCATGTATTCATTTTTATTTTTTACTTCTTTCTGCTAGATGAGAGTGATTTTAGCTCTCCTTTATATATAGGGGCCTCAAGTATATTGCCATTACCCCTCAAACTGCTGCTCTATACAATGATGCTCAAGCCTGTAGACTGAGCAATGATTTGTGCAGGTGGAATGGATGGTAAGGTAGACTCTTTCCTTGTGAAACCAGAGCCTTAAACAGGTTGAAAAAAAGGGAAATCAGGATAGCATCCTGGGAAAAGTGGAAGATTAAGAGGAAGGAAGGGACATTCTGGTAGAAGCCATTTTTGCCTAAGGCCTGTTTTGGATGTAACTGAATTCATAATACTCTTCTAGTAGATATTCTTAAACTGGAGTCCATGGATCTGTCTTAGAGATATGTGACATCATTATGTAATGATGTTTGTTTATGTATGTTCATTTTTATGGGGAGAGGGTGCGTTGTTTTCTTTAGATTCCTAAGGGGTTCATAATCCTAAAAGGTGAGAACCACTGCTCTACAGATTGCTCACTTCTGCTCTTAGAAGTACCTCTTTGTGTATGTGTGTTTAAGAAATTAGTTATTTATCATTTATGTTCATGTGAAAATAAAATCCTGATTTGTTTTTTAAACCAGCTTCTCAGAAACTTCTTACTTTTACTATGTTTTCTTTGCTTATAGGATAGCGCAGCTGTCCAGATTCTCTTAGAGATTTGCCTACCTACTGAAGAGGAGAAAGCAAATGGTGTCAATCCAGATAGCTTGTTAAGAAATGTTCAAAGTGTTATTACCACCAACACTCCAAATAAGGGAATGGAGGAAGGAGAAGACAATTTGCTCTGTAACCTTCGAGAAGTTCAGTGCCTTATCTGTTGTCTCTTGCACCAAATGTACATTGCAGATCCCAACATTGCTAAGCTTGTTCACTTTCAGGTCTGTTTCCAAAGAATGATGCTTTGTGTTTGAACTTTATTTTTCTTGGGGGCTTTGAATACTATATTAACAGGACTCATTTGGAAACTAGAGAAAACACAAATGAACCATGGGCCTTTGCAATATGGATAAAAATCCAGATTTTTAGTTTTTTTTTTTAACCTAATGAAATGTTTGGTAGTTTAATCTGTATTCTAGTGCATCAGAAAAGTGAAATGCCAGGTTACATATAGGGCACTATAGCCTTCTGAGCAACTTTTACAGAAAGGAAATGAAATCTTTCATTTGTATTTTTATCTGTACTTTTATAGTTATTTTATTTCTGACTTTTTTTCCCTTTCTTGTTGGGATAGGGTTATCCATGTGAACTTTTGCCTCTGACGGTCGCAGGTATTCCATCTATGCACATCTGTCTAGATTTCATACCTGAGCTTATTGCACAGCCAGAACTTGAAAAACAGGTAATGAGCATTTTGGAGCTTTAGGACAATTGATCTCTCTCTCCAGTCTTACTAGTTATACAAAACATTTTATAATGTTTAATACCTAAAGATATTGAGAAACATGTAATATCTGGATTTTGTATTGCAGATATTTGCTATCCAGTTGCTTTCTCACTTGTGTATTCAATATGCATTACCAAAGTCACTTAGTGTGGCTCGTTTAGCTGTCAATGTCATGGGAACTTTGTTAACAGGTAGGTAGTCAACATCAACAAACATCTGACATAAATTATTATAGATCCTATATTTTCTGCATTTAGTGATTCAATATATTTTTTGTGTCACACTGAGATAGTATGATACAATATGTGTTAATACTGGTTTAATTTATGCCATCTTTTGAATTCTTCTTTTGAAAACTTCTGTTTACAAATGTGATTTATAGTGTAGTGGGAATGAATAGGTAGGCAAATTGTATTTTTCATTGTGTGAATGAGTATATATAGATTTGTAAATATAAGCTTTCTGTATTTTATAAATGGAAAACAAATATACTTTTGGAATGTAATTATATCAGTAGATACCAAATGTTTGCTTATTACAAATTCTCAGAGTTTCAGAAAAATATCATCATATGTATAAATGAAAGATAAATATATTAGATGTCTTCATAAGTTCTAAAACATATTCTGACATTTTAACTACCTTCTGGTTTGTAGAATAAAATGGTCTGAAAATAAGCTACTTTAAAATACATGAACTATAATTCAACCCTTAATATTATGGCTTAGTTAATTTAGTATTCTTTCTCATTATATTATTTACATAATACCTTATTGTTTTTCTTTTCATTGTATTTATGTCCTGTTATAATTATTTGTAGTGATTAAGAGTTTACACTGCCTGAATTCAATCTCAGCTCCACCACTAACTGGCTTGTGATCTTTAACAAGTTTCTTAACCTCTCTAATGCTTTTTTAAGAGTTTTCTCATATATAAAATGAGTGTCATAATAGTACTTTGGTCATTCATAAGATTGTAGGAATTCAATGAAATAATGCATATAATGTACTTATCACAAATCTTGGACATAATAATTTGTATCTTGGATAAAGACTGAGACTACTAGATTGTGAGCTTTCTGAAGACAGGGGTTGGCTGTGTTTAGAGAACTTCATGTCTCCAGTACAGACCATAGTACCCCTTAGTATGTTGTATAAGCCATGTTGAATTTATATTTGTAAACTAAAATATTGTTTCATTTATTTCCAACAGTTTTAACACAGGCTAAGCGGTATGCTTTTTTTATGCCAACTCTGCCAAGTTTAGTCTCTTTTTGTCGAGCATTTCCTCCTTTGTATGAGGATATTATGTCTTTGCTGATCCAAATAGGGCAAGTTTGTGCCTCTGATGTTGCCACTCAGACAAGAGACATTGATCCAATTATTACACGTAAGTGGTAACTTATTTTCAAGGGTTATCTTAATATCTCAAACAAAAAGACCAAATTCCTTTCCAAATTTCTTGGCCTTAATGTTTTTTTCTCTTATGTTGTAGGTCTTCAACAAATAAAGGAGAAACCAAGTGGATGGTCTCAACTCTGTAAAGATTCATCTTACAAAAATGGATCCAGGGACACTGGAAGCATGGATCCTGATGTACAGCTCTGTCACTGTATTGAAAGAACAGTAATTGAAATAATAAATATGAGTGTTAGTGGAATTTAAAACAAAATTTAAAACAAACAAAAAAAATGAAGCTGTTTGCTGCATATACCCAACGTGAATCTGCGTATTGTAACAACTCTAAACTGAATGGGAACAGTAAAGTAATGTTGTGGAATCACTAAAACAATTCAATTCAACATGAATATAATTTAGAACTCTATGAGAATTATGCTTGCTTGTTTCTGATTGGCACGTCTTTGAATCTACTTTGCTGGTATGTTTATATTGTAGCAGCTGAGCTTTTTTTTTTTCCACTGGGAACACATGTAAGAAACTCATTACTGGAAAGGGAATTTGGCCTTGTATTTAGCTTTTGAAGTGAAGACTGCCATGCCTTTAATTTCTTATAAAAATGAGTCTGTGGGTAGTCTTGGTGTTTATTTTAACTGTGAGCTTGTAACAAAATGTGACAAAGATGCAAAGATGGGAGAGGAAAAAAGGGTAAAGGGAAAGGAGAATTAAGGAAATATTAGGAGTTAAAAACCCAAGTAGAAATCTCAAAGATTTGCAATACAAGTAATAGTAATGCAAGTTGGAATTCTAGTTCTCAAGAAAGAGTATTGAGAAGGTTTTTAAAAAGGCAAGTAGCTTTTGTAAATTATTTCTGTGGAATTACAGATGAGGATTTAAAGATTTCACATATTTGCTTCAATTTTTATTAATATATGAAGCCATATGTTTAAAGAGATACTTGAATAATTTGGAATTTTAAGATACTGGTGTAAAAGTGTTTACAGAAACATCTTTGTTCAAAGAAGAACCTGAGAGGAGATCTCATTTAGTTTTATGTTTTAAATTTATTTTTATAATGCTTTATTAACTTACCTAATGCTCAGAGGGGGGAAATATATATCAAATTAAATGAAGGTAGAGCAATAAAACCGATTGGATTAAAGAGCTGTTGGTTTGTCATCAGGATTATAATCATATCTTACTCTGAGAAGATCTTTGAGTAAGAAAATGTAGTGTTTGAATCTCAGGAAAAGTTAAAATGTAGAAAATATTGTCTTGCTGAAGGATTTTGCATTCCTCTGTCAGTAACTTCCATTGATTAGGCAGACATATTTAGGTAAACCCTAATCATTAAAAAAAAAAAAAAGCAAGTATCAATGTAGAAAGTACTTCCCTTTTCTCTCTCTGAGATATACCTCAATCACACACTTCCCCACCCCCACTTGAAACAGACCTCTTCACTTGTGTTTTTTTTTTTTTCTCTGAGGTGGAGTCTTACCCTGTTGCCCAGGCTGGAGTGCAGTGGGGTGATCTTGGCTCACTGCAGCCTCTGCCACCTGGGTTCAAGGGATTCTCGCACCTCAACCTCCTGAGTAGCTGGGACTGCAGGCATGCGCCACCTGTATTTTTGTATTTTTAGTAGAGATGGGGGTTTGCCATGTTGCCCAGGCTGGTTGTGAACTCCTGGCCTCAGGTGATCTGCCGGCTTGGCCTCCCAAAGTGCTGGGATTACAGGTATGAGCCACTGCACCCAGCCAGACCTCTTCACTTGTAAAAGAAATTAGGCTAATAAGAAGGTGTAGTTTTTGAGAAATGAAATTTAACTTCAGCCTTTTCACTAGTAAATAGTCACATCTCATTTTCTTCCTTTGTAAAATGGGGTTACTACTGGCCCTACCTCACATTCTATGAGAATGAGTTTGTAGCTGTTTCAAATCATGAAGTGCATAGTATCACATATGATAGACTATTTATAACTTTTTATTAGATGCTTAATGTTCAATTAAGTAATTTTGATGTGAAAAATAAAAGCATATGCTTAAAAGTAGCATAAGAATTTTCATATTTTTAAACAAGGCAGTTTTGTAGTCCCTTAAGATTAAATACAACTGCTCCTTTTTTTTTTTTTTTTAAACTGAGGCCTTGCGATATTTTGTGTGAATAGATATGCCCTAGGAGTTCAGAAAAAGTTAAAGTGTGTTTTCTAACTAAATGCAGTGCACATTCCTGGATCAATTTTCAAAGACTGGTCATAATAACCTGCTGTGTTAAAATAATCACATATGCTGTTAATCATCAGATTTGTTGATGATGTAAATAAAATGTGTAAATATATTAGTAAATGTTAATATTCATGTATTTTAAGTTAAGGTTATAAAGTTTGTCACAATGTGTTTTTTTATTCAAGTGAAAACAGATGTGTGCAGCTATTTTGAATATTGGTTTATAAACATTCATATTCTTTATCAAACGAACCTGTAGTTTTTGTGTTTCATTCCACTAGAGTTAACCTGAAGGGAACAGTTCAAGGGACTGTATTCTAGGTCTGTTTGGCTCCAGTGCCTACGTGTATCCCTTTCCGTTATGCCACATACATTAAACGGCAATGCAAGGTGAGAGCCAATTGAAACCCTTATAATTTAGGAGAGGAAAATGAGAGTAGTTATACCAGAGCAGTTACTCAAAAGAGTTGATATTTTCTTTTTTTTTTTTTTGAGGCGGAGTCTCGCTGGCCCAGGCTGAGGTGCAGTGGCGCGATCTCCGTCTCAGCTCACTGCAAGCTCCGCCTCCCGGGTTCACGCCATTCTCCTGCTTCAGCCTTCTGAGTACCTGGGAGCACAGGCACTCGCCACCACACCCAGCTAACTTTTTGTATTTTTAGTAGAGACGGGGTTTCACCGTGTTAGCCAGGATGGTCTTGGTCTCCAGACCTCGTGATCCGCCCGTCTCGGCCTCCCAAAGTGCTGGGATTACAGGCGTGAGTCACTGCGCCCGGCCAAGAGTTGATGTTTTAAAAATTATAAAAGAGAAATAACAATTTGAAGGTATTTTTAACGATTTATTTTTAAACATTATCCTTCCTTTCACTGTCTTAACAGTAAATTACTCCATCTTTGCTCATCCATATATATTTTCACATTACTGAATCCCTAACACCCAGTTTGGGGTTTGCTTTGGCCTTTTTTCACTTAACCTTATATGGGATTTTTTTCTTGCAAGTTTAATTTTTATAATTTTATTGGCTTCATAATGTACTGAATTCGTCTATCATAACCACCTCCATATTACTAGATGGAGTAAAAATTATGAAAAAAATCCATACTTTTTTTCAGTATTACCAATAGGTATTATTGTCAATTGAAGTATCACATTTTCTTTCATTTAGGTTACGTCTTTAGGATAAATATCTGGAGCTCAGATTACTAGGTCAAAGGGTAGAGTTTATTTTTACGACTACAAGTTTTGTCATTTTTGGTAAGATATATCACAATTGACAGTGAGGCAAACAAATCAATTAGCCCCCTCCTGCTGTTTCTTCCCAGCAAACTCCTTCCGCAAACTAGTTACTTGAATTTGAGAAACAGTATCAGGTTTTGCCTTTTGGGGACATTATTATTTGAGCCAAGTTTAGGTTATACAGATTTAAAAAAAAAAACATGATTTGGCAAGATCGTGATGAACCTCCTTTTCTTTGAGTAAATTCAAGTACTATTGGCAAATAATAAACTGGTCTTGGAGGGATGGAAGGCGGAAAAACCTTAATGGAGGTAGAAGTGATCTGATGCTGGAGACCCTGAGAGCTTGTCTCTGGCTTATTTTAGTATCCGGGAAAGCCTTGAATATTATGATAGATTGTAGCCCGATGTCACAGAGCCTTCTTACTTAAGTTTGGCTCAGCAGCCTGGCAATTCCCGCCTCAGTCTTCGCTATCCTGGCTACTGCAAAGCTGGGTAATTTAAACTTAGAGTGGCACTGATGAGTGTTAAAAGAACTTAGCAAAGCTTAAAGATGTTTCCTTTCTGCTGGTCTACGGACCTGGAGAATGAGACTTCCAGTTTCTAAGGAATTTGCTGCATAGGCTCTATCGCCGGTTTCAAAAGTCAAACCGAGAAGACAAACAAACAAACTCTCCTTCAAACAAACACTAGGGATTTGCTGGAGTGGCCATAGCCTTCCTTTGCCGCCGCGTACCTGGAGCCTGTGTGTGTGTTTTTGCCTTCCTTTGCCGCCGCGTACCTGGAGCCTGTGTGTGTGTGTGTGGTTTTTTTTTTTCGGAGACTTCCATTGGATGCTGAAGTTCTCGCCCCCTCACCTCGCGCCGGGATTGGTTGATTCCTGGCCTTGGCGGGTGATTGGTCGAGCTCGCTGGGCTATTGGGCGCTGGGGGTCGAGGGGGCGGGAGGCGGGAATTCGTCTCGGGCTGTGTGGTTGAGGGGTCTGGTGAGTGCTGGGGTCGAGGAAAGGTACGGCGGCCGCAATCCTGCACTCCAGGCCGGGGAAGTAGCAGCCCCGCCAGGAAGAGGGAGTAGGAAGGGCGCGTGTCCTTCCTTCTCTTCCAGGGCTCGGCTTTATTTGCTCTCAGAAATCAGTTTCCTTTTCTTCAGTGAATCGGAGCTCAGAGCGTTGCTTCGGTTTCCCTCCAGACAGGCAAGTCGGAGGGAAGTCAACTGGAAGGGCTTGAGTACTTCTGCACCGCCTGCGGGCCCATCGGTGGTGACTGGATCATCAGGGCCTCGGGGATCTCTACTGGCTGGGGGAGGAGGGAGATACGGGGCAGAAAACCTGAGGAGGGAGCCAGCCTATCCTTACCTCCTTTGAGCGCAGGCCTGTTCTTAGCCCGGGGCGTTGCGTTGCTTCTTGGCGGGAGGCAGAGGAGTGTGTTTATCCTTTATGCAGTATTTGGGGGAGGCTACCCCATTTTGACACTATTGTTGCCACAGCCGGGGTACAGGGCGGGCTGATTTCTAGATTTTATCTGAGTAACTAGGCCAGCGTTGAGTTGTTGAGTCATATTAAGAGGTTAGATTCCACCACACCTCCTTCTCAGAGCTTTACAGATAGGATCGCAAAATGTTAGAGCTGGAAAATACCCTAGAATAATGAATGGTTCTTCACTGCTTTTGGAACACACAGGCGGTGGTGAATGTTATTATTGGCTTCATCATCTATTGAATTGCTATTTTAACTATCTCTTCGTCCCCAGATTGAATTTACAATTTTTTCCCACGACTGCAGATAATTCCTTATTTAATAACAATGCATGTAATTTTCCCCGCTATTTTGATTTCCTTGAGATATATTTAGGGGAAGAGAAATCTATGGGCTTTTTCTTCAGAAAAATGCAATCATGTACAGAAACTTATGCTTGCAATTTCAAGAGGTCATTGTCTCTGAATTACATCCGTGGATCCTAGGTTAAGAGAAGTGGTTTAGAAGAGGTGAGGATTAAAGTGATCACCTCATCTGTGTCAGATCCTGGGTTAGGTATATTCTGCCCTGGCTAATTTTCATAAAAACCCTGTCAGGTAAGTAGTAGTATTTCAATTCCATATATGGAGAAAAAAGCTCTGAGAAGTGATTCACACAGTGGAATTCAAACTTAGGACTGCCTTACTCCAAAGCCCATCCTCTTTCTATAATACTCTACTGACCTTTAAATAAAATTTTTGAGTGCCTACTATGTGCCAAGGCATTCTCTTTCTTACAACAGCCTTTAAGTTAAATTAGGGGTTATCACAGGTAAGGATCTTAGACTAGAGAAGTAAAAAGATATGTCAAAGATGACATACCTGAGTCCCTGTAAAAACCTGGTATAGAACCTATGCTTCCTGACTTCTGGTCCACAGCTTTTTTCTTCTAACTGGAGGACTGCAGAAAGGGGTAACACAAAGGGGAAGAACAGGAGAAAGAGTGGTGCTATGGAGTTGTAGAGAGAGAGACCTCAGAAACTTATTTGTTTCTGTAGGTTGATTACATCTGATCTAACTGTTACAAGAGCTCATGTTTAATCTGGTATGTACTGTATCATATTTGCACATTATTTCACTTAATCATTACCACAATCCTATGGGGTACATGCAGTCACTGTGGCTTAGAGAAGGTAACTAACTTTCCCAAAGTCACACAACTAATACCTGGCAGAGCGAGGGATACAAATCCAGATTTGTTAGACTCTAAGACATGCTCTTGACCACTGTGATTTATAAGACTAGGAAATTCTTTTGTTTTCATTTGTTTTGTTTCTACTTTTATTAATTCCAGTTTTTATTTCCAGATTTCTCTCTTAGTTTTGGTTCTCTGGTTTTCTTTGAAAGGCGTGTCTCAACATTTGCCATTTTCATTTCTATTGCAGTTAGGAATCTGAAATAAACAGGAAAGCACTATGTCTTCGATGTGGTCTGAATATACAATCGGTGGGGTGAAGATTTACTTTCCTTATAAAGCTTACCCATCACAGCTTGCTATGATGAATTCTGTAAGTATTTTTCAGCAGTTAAGTTTTTATTAAGATATAGATACTTAGGACCCATAAAGTACATTGAGTATGTGACTGCATTCATATTCTCAGTAAATGAAGAATATTTTTCTTTTTTTTTTTTTTTGAGACGGAGTTTCGCTGTTTTTGCCCAGGCTGGAGTGCAATGGTGCGATCTCCGCTCACCGCAACCTCCGCCTCCCGGGTTCAAGCAATTCTCCTGCCTCAGCCTCCTGAGTAGCTGGGATTACAGGCATGCGCCACCATGCCTGGCTAATTTTGTATTTTTAGTAGAGACGGGGTTTCTCCATGTTGGTCAGGCTGGTCTTGAACTCCCGACCTCAGGTGATCTACCCGCCTCGGCCTCCCAAAGTGCTGGGATTACAGGCGTGAGCCACCATGCCCGGCCAATGGAGAATATTTTCTGGGTTCCATTGGAAGAACATGTAACCTCTAGGAAACCACTGATTGCTGCTAAACTGTATATATCCATGATTAAGGCAAAGAAGAACATGCTGAAAAATGTTCTCAGCTCATTTGGAATTTCTGTACTTTTAGTGAAAAACTGCTTTCTACAGAGTATTTACTATCTTTTACACAGAATACTATTTTTCTCACCATTGTTTTGTTTGGATTATGTAGAAAATTAATATACAAATTTGAGTAAACCAGCTTTCCAGTTGTGTTAAATCTATTTTGCCATATGTACTTCATATCTGGTAGCAAGATTATTAGTATCCTGAATTTGTTCTTTTCCTTTCCTAGCCATGTTTTTATACTTTTATTACATATATATGTATCCATAAATAATATAGAATATTATTTTACATATTTTAAACTTTGTGCATTGATGTGATACTGTACCTTATCTTTCTACAGAACTTGAGTTTTTTAACTTAGCATTAATTTTAATATATAGCCCTGTTGATTCTTAATCAATTTTAATTGCTGTATAAATTCCATTGGATGAATATACCAGAATTTATCTGTCCATTTTCT